ATTAGCAACGTTACACGTCGACATCCGGCGCGCGTGACTAATATCAAAATTCCAATATCAGATTTTAACAAAGTCAAATACTTTAGGCCAAAGGCTGCAAGCAAAAGAAGCCCTCCAACTCTCACCGCAGCTACAAAGTCAAGTTCGAGAGTCTGTTTGGGATTTACCGCTCAACAACTGGTGCGTAGAAAAGTCCTGAACTGTTCCAGGACAAAACACCGCTTCTCTGACAGTCTTTAACCTTATGGTGGCAAATATACAAAAGTAACGCCCTCCTTTCTCAGCACTGGAACACCAGCTTCAGCTCTGGAATAGAGCCATTCAGCTCTGGAAACCGAGAGCTGAAAGGAGTTCAGCACTGGAATTCCAGTGCTGAAAAGTCTCAGCACTGGAAGTGGAATTAAGAAATTATGTTCCGCACTGGAAACCGAGTGCTGAGCAGAGGCCACCGTCTCTGAGGCATTCATGAGCTGTGAGTTCATGAAAAAAAAGTCAGAAGAAGGTCAGAAAAGGGTCAGAAAAAAAGTTGTTCATAATCTCTGGTACTTTGGTTGATATCATAATCTCTGATATCTCTGGTTGATATCACTTATACTGGTGCCTATATATAATCGTGTTAATTTTTCTCTGCGAAAATGAACGAAAATAATCACAAAGGTGCCGTTTTAGTTTCTTTAGTTTCCAAAACCACATGTAGTGAAACACAACAGCGTATTAGGTTTTCAATAACGATTAAAGAGTAAACTCAGTGGCAGGAATACAAGTGATTCGGCACAGCAAGGAGTGGCACAGATTTCCCACCTCTCAGCACTGGGACATAATTTTCCAGTGCCGGGAAAGACGTCAGCACTGGTTTGAAGAGCGTCCCAGTGCTGAAGGGACGTCAGCACTGGTTTTCCAGAGCTGAAAATTTTCCAGCACTAGTTTTCCAGTGCTGAATTCTTCTCCAGCACTGGTAAATCCAGTGTGGAGGGCGTTACTTTTGTATACGAGCACTCGGTTCCAGTGCTGAAACCGCCGTCAGCACTGGGGACCCAGTGCTGAGCGACCTTTGAACTGGCTCTGCCGCGCGTTCAGCACTGGAGACCGAGTGCTGAAGGGACTTGGGACTTCAGCACTGGAAACCGAGAGCTGAGACAACGTTCAGCTCTTGAACAGAGCCGTTCAGCTCTGGAAAACCAGTGCTGAATATTTATCAGGACTGGAATTCCAGTGCTGAAGGAGCTTCAGCTCTGGAATTCCAGTGCTGACGAAATTTCGACCGCTGATTCAGCACTGGAACACCAGTGCGGAGGGCGTTACTTTTGTATATTTGCCTTATGGTGGATTCTTTGTGTCTTTTTTACAGACAAATTTAACTTCCTGAGCCCTATGTGACGTATATCATAATCCTGGATAGTTTGATACATAAAACAACTCTGTTACCGCCCCCCTCCCCACTCGAAAATATTATCGGTCGTCTGTCCCCCTTCCTTCCAAATCTATCACCTTATCCATGTCATCCTCTACACAAACGGTACTATCGTGTCCCCTCTGTATGCTATCGGCCTCGGAACACTTTTGTTTTACATTGAAACGCATAGAATTTGACCAAAACACAAAGGACAACAACAAACCACGTTTCAAGCAAAGCTATTCAGGTCAGGATCATATAAAAGCGCCCCTCAGCGGAGTATTTACAAAATGCACCTCTTAAGATTGGTGTAGTTTTTCTATTTCAGGATTATTAATTTCACCATCATTGTATATTAATTGATTGACCCGTGTTCAAAGAACTGGTGGCTACGGTGCAAAAAAATAAAAAAGATAATAAACATTTGAATAAATGAAAGTGCTTTTTTATCGACCACGCAAATGCGCCCCCATCGGTTACTTAACTAAGTGCAGCGTTAACTCGTGGGGACAATTGCCGAAACTTATTATCGAAATTCTGTCTTTTTGCTTCGTTTAACTTAAAGAAGATTTATCTATAATAGTCCGGAGAGTATCAACGACAATTTGAAGTACAACTCACCACCAAAGCGGACGTGGCGCGTCTTCCTGGGCGGAATTTTTACCGAGCTCATTCTTCCCTTCCATGCACACTCGCCATCTTGGAAAGGTGTGTTTCACGCACATGTGTCATGTCACCTGTATATCATGAGCAAAATTTGCATTCGATAATCAAGTTGACATGAGATTTACGACAAGCCAATAGGCATCCATCACACATCTGTATCTGTATCTGTATAGCCGGTATAACCGCCTTTCGGCGTAACACACCAGCTTCGCAGGCACGCGGCGCGGCGGCAGCTGGCTATATTACACCGATCGACTTGTTACACCTAACCCTTGAACTTCTAGCTCTAGACATTGTTTAAAGCTATCTATTGACAATGCCCCTACTGTACTTGGTGACAGTGAGTTCCACTCTGCGATAGTTCTAGGAAAGAATGAATTCTTGAACACCTCAATCCTTGGTTGATAACTCTGGTACTTGAATGCGTGGCTATTTCTTGTTCTCTTCTGGGCTGGTATTAGGTACTTAGTAGTTGGGACATCCACCAGTTTATTAGTCATTTTGTACATCATGCATAGTCTAGACATCTTTCTTCTGTCTTCCAGTGAAGTCCACTGTAGGTTTCTTTTCATTTCCGTGACACTAGCACCTCTTACATAGTTGTTCATACAGAATCTTGCAGCTTGATTCTGTACCCTTTCCAATTTGTCTTTGTCTTTCTTTGTATATGGATCCCATACTGTCGCAGCGTATTCTAGGTTCGGTCTTACAAGTGACGTGTATGCAAGTGATTTTACTCTAGTTGGACATGCCCACAGATTACGTTTAATCACTCCCAATGTCTGTTTCGCCTTAGTTGTGATATTATTAACATGTGTACCCCGCTTCAGTCCGCTTGTCAGCGTGACGCCCAGATACGGATGGATTTTTGTGGTTGCTAAAGCCTGACCACAAAACTGGTAGCTAGTTGCATGTGGTGTTCGTTTGTTTGTTATGTGCATAATGTAGCATTTTTCGGGATTAAACTGCATGAGCCATTTGCTTTGCCATTCTTCCAGGGTGTTCAGGTCTTTTTGGAGAAGTTGTGAGTCGGTCTGTGTAGAAAGCTCTACATACAATAGACAGTCATCGGCAAATAACCTCACATTTGAGTCAAGCTGATCTGGTAGGTCATTTATATACAAGAGAAAGAGCAATGGCCCCAGGACGGTTCCTTGAGGGACCCCAGACGCTACACATGCAGGCCTAAAAAAAATGCATGATTTAATTTTGGATTTCATCTTACGAAAAAAATTAAATTCTAATTTTTTCTATCCTCATCATTCAACTTTTTTAAACTAAGGCGGAAGACACACGCTAATAATTTTTCAATAAATGATTCTTGTTTGACCCATTTATGACAACCATTGCGATATATGCCTCTAGGAATACGTCTGTATAATGACTCGGTACAACAAGAGTAAATTTCACGCGACATACATGTAGAATTCCATCTTGGAGTGTTCATTTGTATTATATGTATTATATGTGTATCATAATTGGGCATAATATAACGGAATATAGCCGAAACATCCGCAATTTGTGACTAAAAGGACGCTTCTGACGAAGCAAGTCTTAGATTTTCAAACGTTATTCAATAAAATGGTTATTTGATAGGTTTTAGCTGAGCAATGATTCAATTATAAGGGGGACCAATCAAAACAGCGGATTTCGTCTGATAACGAGGCTCAAAAATATATGCATACATTAGACCAGGTGCCTCATAACGTTATGCGAGGTAGTTACGAAATCCTCCAGGCGAACTGAGTAGATATGCTGGGTTAAATATAGGCAGGAATGGGTGTAAACATTGGCGTTTAAAGTAAAAATAGCGCAAGCAATTACAGAACTAGTTGTTGCAATATTTTCTATATGATCCATTGTTCACGTCAAGTTGTTTTCTGGACGGTTAGAACAAAATCAAGGAAAATATGTTTAGTAACGAAAAAAAAAAAACATCAATAAAACGCATAAACTTTTCGTTCCAGTTTTTCCACCAAACCGTTTCTAGAAGTGTATACCTGAGGTGTCCAGAAGAATCTTTCCCTCCCTGGCGAACGTGCACCCTTCTTTACAAAGTTTACTCCCTCACGTTTTAATTAATTGGATGCTGTGATGCATCCACAGGCGCCACAATGCCAATTCATCACACGTGTCAATAAGGGTCTCTAGCAGTTCGTGGAATTATTGCAGGTACTTGAAGAGATTTTTTACATGCAATAATTTCACCAACTGCTAGAAGTCGCTTTTGATACATGGCGCAGAGGGTTATTAACCGATGTATCCTTGATGCTGATTGGTTCTAAACATGTGTACGCGTTTGAGTCGTCGAGCCTGATTGGATAATAAAGCTTAACAATTATGACGTCAGCCTCTTTGACCAAATATGGACAACAGACTCAAAACTATAAAGCCGCTTTACTTTTCATGTAAACAACTGAAGTTACGATGGATTTTCGGACGAACGGGACTACTTTAGGCATGTTATTTTCCATCAGATAAGCCATAGAGTCGTAAGAACTGACTGTATAGAGAAAAGGAGCCGATTTATGAGGTTACGGGAGGTAAAAATGCTCAGCAACCGCGTAATATTCTTACGAACAGGGGACATGAGGGGGGGGGGCGCATGTGTAGGGATAGCTTTCAGCACCAAGGACAGGGATAGCTTCAGTTTGAACCTGGCCTTTTCTTCATGACAACAAACTGAATATTAACACACCGACTGCTATATACATGTACGAAGAAAATTAAGTTTTCGGTGCGAATCTCAATATCATATAAATGCAAACAGAGCTTCTGCCTCGTATAACTGTGTGATAACTGCGCTGATAACTGTGCACCATACAGTACACATGTAAGTCCTATATGTAAAGGGCATACTTACAGGAGATGCTAAGATTGTACCAAAGTCATGATGAAATAAATCTATTTAAAAATAAAAAATAACATATGTGTACTGAGAAGATATGTTTATTCACAATATACATGTACTACATGTATTCTAAAAAGCAGTTTATGCCAGGTTTGACAAGCTCAAAATCACTGTTTAACAACAGTTTAAACAAATTCTGTCCTGACATAGCGACCATTAGTCCTACCTAACTAATCATAACAATATGAGAGTGTTAGAATACCAGATATGATGTTATCTTCATTCAGTTTGTGTACTTTTTGTACAGCATATACTGGGCTCGCAATAATTTTTTCAGGTACGTGCAAAAATTTTAGGTGCAATTTGAAAAATTAAACTTTATGTGCAAAATTATATCTAGGCAGTCTACAACTGTATTCCAGGTGGTTTGAAAGTGGTATACACTATTTCTTTTCTCAGTGCGAAGGATCCTACCAAAAATTTGCAAGCCCACAATGAATTAAACTGACCTTCCTTGTTTGTGTTATTTGCATGATGTTTCAACATTCAAGAAAAAGACTTGATTATCGCGCACAATTTGTAAAGTAAAATATACTGCTTATAAAAATAACATATGGTTAATTTTTGCTTCTTTGCCTGCAAAGTGCCCCCCTCCTGCTCTAGGTGCAAAATTGCACATTCAAAATATTTTTAAGTGCAAATACTGAAACTCATGACTGCATTTTGCACATTGCACATGGGTACTTAAGTATTTCGAGCCCTGATATTGTGATATACAATCTATACCGTATACATTAAAGTACTGGATGCAGTAGCGTGGATTTTACATGAATTCAAGCTGTTTTCCAACATGATGTAGCTTGGCCACTATTAATAGAAAGTCTTTTAATATACATACAAGTCATTGGAAATAGATTCCTTTGGCCACTCACAGAGAGAGGCACTTGGAAATAACCAGGTTTGAAAACAAGTGGACTGCTGCCCACCCATGTCATGGACTTTTGCCGCTGCAATATAATCATCTAGAATCTACTTTTATACATGTGGTACTACTACTACTAACTACTGAACTGACTACTACTACTGTAACAGTACTACAGTAAACTACACACGACTACTACAGTCAAACTACTACTATGACTACTACAGTTACTACTACTAGTACTACTACTACTACATGACATTGTACTAATGTTAACATAATGGGACAGTCATGAAAAATCAGCATCTCTTGGCTTTTTAGGTTGTGTGGACTCAGTGTTCTCACTCTCTGCATGCCTCTTTTCCCCTGTAATCCTGGGAACAACAGTCACTCCCACATGCTTCTCTCTGTCCATAAGAGATGCCTGGTGCGATCTCTGACCTGCCGGTACAGTTTGACATGATTCACTCATGCTCACTGTATCCTCTGGACTCTCAGATACATTTGTTTGGAGCTTCTTTTTGATTGCTTGAACATTTTCACTGCTCAACTTGGGCCCAACAGTGATGACTCTCACTCCATCTATAAATATGGACCTACTACTTGCTTCATTGCTGAAGGTACTTGTAGTTTGCAGGTAGGCCTTGTCTGTCTTTTCTTTGATGTTAGTGTCTGCTGAGTGAGTGATCTCATGTGAATCATGCAGTAACTTATGGTCATCAGTCACTTTGAGATTGTCCTTCTTGTTTTCACTTGGGGCACAGTTGTTTTCCTGCTGATGCTGACCAGCATCGGGGTCAGTCGTCTCTGTAACCACAGTGATTTCATGTGAAGCATACGGAGCTTCAAGATCACTAGTACCGGTACTAGTGGTACCTATGGGATTATCTTCACTTAGGGGCCTGCAAACTTCATACCCGTCTTGCATAGCTTGAAGCAAAAAGTTTGAAGCCTCTGTTACCTCATGATCAGCAGACAGTGCCTGCGGACTGTAACTTGTTGGGACACAGTCCTTGTCTTGAGGGGAGGTGCACGTTACTTGTACTGGTTTATGTGACTTGTAGTGGTTCAGCAGGCAACGCATCTGCTGCAGACATTGGCTGTACTCTGTCTCCCCACACAGGCTGACAACTTCCGCAATCTCCTTACTGAGATCCAAAACCTCTTGGTATTTTGCCTCCCTTGACATTGGTTCTGGAGGTAGCAGTGCCTCAGATGTAACCACGTTCGGTTCTTGATGTTCCCCCTTTTCGGCGTGGGGTTTGCTCGTCTTAAGCCAGCATTCTGCCACCAGCGACAGGTCAAAGAGGTCCAACGCCCTTTTCTTTCTGGCTGCGAAGATGTGTGAACACGGAATCCCCATGCTCTTTGAACAACCACATGAACATTCCGAACATGTGCTGTTGACAGCGTGTGTGCCGTTCACAGTACTTACAGATAAGGTACCATCTTCTTTTGTTGTGATCTTATATTTACCCGACTTGGCCTGGGACAGCTGAGCATATATAAGCTTACTGGCATCAACCGTGCATGCTTCCTTGTATGCCTTTTTGATGGCTTTCAGTTGTTGATTGGAGGCCTGGACATCCGTCTGTTTCAAGTTAGTAGCTGAAGAAAGCAGCAGGTTCTTCACTAGCTGGGAGAGGGCAACCGTTTCTCTCAAGAGCTTATCCAGTGTCTCGTGTCTCCTCTCGTCATGGGAGTCTAAGTTGGCATATGGAGCAACCCAAACCTTAACCCACAGAGTCCGTATACCGTGCCAGCTCTCCAAAAAATACTGCCCAAATTCTTCTGCCCCCTCTAGTGCCAACAGCTCTGCATACGCATCGTAATAGCACCTTTCAGTTGTGGAGTAGGCTAGCCTTCTGATCAAGTGTAGGACTTTTTCGTGGATGATTGGGTTCTTGACGTAGTGGCTGCTTGCAGCAGCCTGGGCTTCCATTGCACGGAAGTGGCAGACCACCACTATCTTGTCGTGCAGTTGGTGGGCAACTGTGGCTACTTCGGACGCATCCTGCAGCCGATCGATAACTACAGTCGCCACTGAACCATAATGTGGCGAGTGCTGCTTGAACATCTGCAGTGCTCGGACCGACGATGCTTTCGTCTGGTCAAGGAAAAGAACATGTCCAGCTTGCATGGCAGTTCCAACTCCATCTACAACACTGACAGTGAAGAGGTGCATGTTTTTACTGTGTGCACTGTCTAGGTAGAGAATCTCTGGATAGTTGCTGAATGCAGTGCCCATTGGCAATGTCTGCAAGAAAATCCCCTCTAGACTACCATCATCGCCGACAACAAAGGCTAGTTTGCCCCCTTTGTGTTTTGTTAGGAAATCTTGTAGAACATGGAACACTGTGTCCACTTCAGTTTCCTCTGAACCCAGACTTGACCTCAACCTGTGGAGATCTGTCACTGCTGCTAACTCTCCACTGGTGTCGTAGACATGTTGCCTGAAAATGTTCACATCCATCTTCAACTTTTTAGGCTTACAGGTCTCTGAAGGAGGGTAACCATATGACCACTGCTGTGTGGGGATCTTAAATATCTCGTCAGTCAATTCGTGATTGTGGTGGTTGTTGATTGCCCTGATGACCAGTTTTTGCTGTGCACGGTCCGATATCACGTAGATCCGAGCTGGACATTCCAATTTGGTGGTCCTGAAACAATTGAAACAAAGTTAATTATAAATCATACTATAAATTCATTTAAGGTGACAATGACAGGCTGAGGCTGTGCATTTCTTTATTAGAAGACGTTTCAATATCTTTTAGTTGGATGTTTAATCAAGAGAAGTAAAATGATGGAAAACAAAAATTTACTGTAGCTAAAATCTTCTTTAGTTCAAACTGTTCTTTAGTTTTCCTGTATATGCTGGGCTCAACTGCTGAATTGAAAGATTGATCCTTGTACTGTAGTCAGCAATACAATCTGTATTTTAGAGGCCACTTAATATAAGTACTGGTTAAACTGTTTTGATATGAGTAACAATTTCTGAATCAGTAATAGACAACAGACCCCCCAAAAAAAGGGGCTACAGTGGCAAGGTGGTTGTGTAAAGAATCCAGTTTGTCTGTACTCACGACTGGTTCACCCGGATCCCGGTACCTCGATAGCGAGCCTTCCCCGAGTGTATACATCCAAAATGAGCGTTAGCATACACGTGTTCACTGGGATGTTTCTTCACCGAGGCCGAATATGTCTTGTTTCTTGCCTCCACAGTTGCACTGTACCTCTTACTCAACCTGAATTTATTTATCCTCTGGAACTCGTCCAGGACTGCTTTTAACTCGGACCATGTGGAGAAGGAGTCGCCGACCTTCAGCGTTGCAGCTCTGTCTGTGATTGCTTCTGCTGTGTACTGGAACCCACTGTTGGCAGGTTTTGCCCCTGCCACTGACGTGCTCTGCTCATCAGACCTGTTTTCTACTCTCTCACCCTGAGAGGACGTTGCACGAAGAGAGAGCGTTTCTGCCCATTTGGAAATGCCAGCTGGGCCCCTTTCTTCCACCATGCGCCCATCATGAGTCACAGGCACTGTGGTGACTGTGGTGGTATCATTCTGGCCTGTAAAGGCCACCGTGGTAGTGTCTGTATGCCACACAAACTTAGGAATGTGGGTTGAGCTTGCAGCGCCAGATATACTTGCAACAGCAGACTCCACAGGGGTTGTCGGGTCCCTCTGTGGTGTATGTGACCTTTGAACTACAGGTGTGACCTGTGACCCCAGCAGGAAGAGGTCATGGCCCTCTTGGCTGATAGTCGTGACCTGTCCTGAAGGTACCGGAACTCTCTCCACATTCAAGTCACTGGAGTCGCGTGTTTCCTGCTTGTTGGATACAATCTCCTCTTCCTGCAAAGTGCCTGCAACTGCTATCACATTGCTGACTCCCTGCATACCAGAAATCATATCGATCGCTTTCTCCTGCATTGAACCTTCTTCCACAGGTGGGACGCTAGCTTCAGTTCTTAATCCCTTCTCCTGTCTATCTTTATTTGAGAGTCTAGCCATTATAGAAAAATTCTTCTGCTTTCTCATTATTTTGGTGATTCTCCCACTACCCGATAACACCTCCATCTTGGGGTTGTTTGTTTCCTCGTTTGACACAAACTCGTCTTCCTCTACTGGTTCTAATGGTTTTTCATTGAGAACAGCATCTGGCCTGAGTGTGCTTTGACTGGTAGGAACCATACTGCCTGGGCCTGGTTCACTGCAGAAGAGAAGACGACACATGTCATCATATGAACACTGCTGCGTGGGGATCTTAATTCTCTTGTCAGTCAACTCGTGATTGTGGTTGTTGTTAAATGCCTTGATGACCAGTTTTTGACGGGCACGGTCCGATATCACGTAGATCCGAGCTGGACATTCCAATTTGATGGTCCTGAAACAATTGAAACAAAGATAATTAAAATACTGTAAATTCAGTAAAGTTTGCAGCATTTCTTTATTTCTAATTAAAATTCTATTCAACACTTTGCATTTTGCAATATCATTTAGTTGGATGTTGAATCAAGAGAAGTAAAAAACAGAAAATTTACAGTAGCTGAAGTCTTGTTACTCCGTGAAGGAGGTCAGGACCTCCGGACGGAGTGTTGTAATCGGCTGATTTTTCATGTTCGCAGTCAAAACACTGGGTTCTCTTTGTGTAATCGGCACGCAATTTTATACGCCGTCTGCGGGCATGCCCGTGTTGATGCACGAATGTGTATTTTTGCCGTTGCTGCTTTCGCGGTCAATGTAATATCGCAGACGCACCCCTACAATTACGAGGCGAATTGGAATGGTCCAGAAAAACGCGTTGTTTGGAATAGCATGGGGTTCAAAAAAGTTCATGCAGATACGGGGTGGTTTTTATAAGTGGTTCCAGATGTTTTTGCCCATGGTTAAGAGATGCCAAGTTTTTTGGAAGATGTTCGCAGCCAAAACGCATTCTTCCGTACGTCGCATTTCTGTGTAATTTCGCATGTGGTGTTGCATTATGTCCGGGATGATGCACGTCTTTTTATTTTTACCGTAGCTGTTTTGATATTGGAGTAAATGCTTATTTTCGAAACATCCCCATTTCTTTGAAATGGTTTCGTCCGTTTATGCAACTGTTACTGCGCTAATGACGACCAGTCGCGCTGTCCTGATACACCGCGAATGTGCGAGTGTTCCCTGTAGACAGTCCCGGGAGTCATTTTTTTGCTACATTCCAGGAGCAAACCAAAATACGTTCATGAACCGAGTCCAAAAAACCGAAACGTGAAAATCGGATGATCGGACCTGATGTACATTTCTCTTTCTATAGATTGTACACACAATACACACATCTTTAGATAATCTGGCCATGGCAGGTTAAAAAAAAAGTAAACCCTGAATCATACTAGATTAGCGTAAATGCATGTTAATGCGTTCAAAACAAGAAAAAAATTGTTTCCGGGTATTAATCTCTTGAATCACGGCGCTGAATATTGACGCAAAAATATTTCGGGCATCGCGCACCCTTCCCGCGTCACGTGTAGGCATCTCGCATCTCTGATTGGTTGTTGCGTCTTAAGATGACTGAGCCGACGCGCGTTTAAACAATTTTCTTTGTTCGATTTATCACACTTCACAGAGAATTGTCGCCAATGGCTACTTCTTTTTGTTGCAATATATAATACTTCACGGAGAATTGTCACCTATGGCTTCTTGTTTAGTTTAAAGTTAGTGTACACAATGTGTATAAGTTCTCCTGTAGATGTTACACTTAACTGCTGACAGATTGATCCTTGTACTGCGGTCAGCAAAATTGTGTATTTCAATGGCCACTAGTAGTGGTTAGACTGTTTTGATACCGGTAATAATTTAGTAATTGGTAGCAGACCCTCAAACAAGAATTTGGAGACCTCCATGAAATATATGAGATTTTGTACGTTTTTTATGTGTCTCAGTCATTGACTATGGAAATAAGGTCAGAATTACCATAATCTAGTTTAATTTATGGCTTTCTAAATTCCAATTACAATATTTTGCGTGCAAAATTCCTCTCCTTTGTCATACTTCATTTCAGTATGTCCTCATCAATTATGCAAATGACCTCTACATTAACATAATATATGCATAGTGATGTTAACTTTTAGGTAAATTCCACATGTCACACAGTATATAAATAAAGTCCTATCATTCACAAATAAGAAATCACAGAATTTTCACATTATCTATGCAAATTAGGTCATTATTTGCATAATTGTCGATGTCCGACTGCCATATATCAAATAGATTACATGTATAAATTTTAAACACCTTTAATTATAAAATTTCCTCCTTAATTATGCAGATTAAGTCTTCATTTGCATAATTTGCATTTAATTATGTACATCTCTCAGCTACCACGCAACATAAAAAAATGATGAAAATACGCTGTTCCTATCTTGACTTATCAGCCTTAAAAGATTTTGCCATAAAGTCGCTTGCAGTTCAGAACAAGCTGCTAGGTGGACCAAACCCATCCCACCCATTCCTGACACGAAAAGTTATCTGTCACCAAGAAGTCAAGACCATAGCATGTTTGGGACAAAAGATACCAAAAACAAAAGTTCTGCTGCAGTACCAAGGTCAGCCACCAGGAGGCCCATATTTGACCTTGACCTTTGTCTTCAAAAGACTTACCAACATACTAAGTATCATCTCAATCCATATAAAGGCATTCTAAACACACACACTCACAGACACACCAAAAACAATACCTCCACTTTTCATGGAGGTAAAAAGGGGCTACAGTGGCCAGCAGGTGGTTGTGCAAAGAATCCAGTAATTTGTTTGTTTGTACTCACGACTGGTTCACCCGGATCCCAGTACCTCGACAGCGAGCCTTCCCCGAGTGTATACATCCAAAATGGGCGTTAGCGTACACGTGTTCACTGGGATGTTTCTTCACCGAGGCCGAATATGTCTTGTTTCTTGCCTCCACAGTTGCACTTTTCCTCTTACTCAACCTGACTTTATTTATCCTCTGGAACTCGTCCAGGACTGCTTTTAACTCGGACCATGTGGAGAAGGAGTCGCCGACCTTCAGCGTAGCAGCTCTGTCTGTGATTGTTTCTGCGGTGTACTGGAACCCACTGCTGGCAGGTTTTGCCCCTGCCACTGACGTGCTCTGCTCATCAGACCTGTTTTCTACTCTCTCATCCTGAGAGGACACAGGACGAGAGAGCGTTTCTGCCAAGTTGGCAACAGCAGACTCTACAGAGGTTGTAGGGTCCTCCTGTGGTGTATGTGACCTTTGAACTACAGGCGTGACCTGTGACCCCAGCACGTAGCCCTCTTGGCTGATAGTCATGACCTGTCCTGAAGGTACCGGTACTCTCTTCACGTTCAAGTTATTTGAGTCGTGTGTTTTCTGCTCATTGAATACAATCTCCTCTCCCTGCAAAGTGCCTGCAACTGCTGTTGCATTGCTGACTCCATGCATACCAGAAATCATATCGATCGCTTTCTCCTGCATTGAACCTTCTTCCACAGGTGGGACGCTAGCTTCAGTTCTTAATCCCTTCTCCTGTCTATCTTTATTTGAGAGTCTAGCCATTATAGAAAAATTCTTCTGCTTTCTCATTATTTTGGTGTTTCTCCCACTACCTGATAACACCTCCATCTTGGGGTTGTTTGTTTCCTCGTTTGACACAAACTTGTCTTCCTCTAGTACTGGTTCTAATGGTTTTTCATTGAGAACAGCATCTGGCCTGAGTGTGCTGTGACTGGTTGGAACCATACTGGCTGGGCCTGGTTCACTGCAGAAGAGAAGACGACACATGTCGTCATATGAACACTGCTGCGTGGGGATCTTAATTCTCTTGTCAGTCAACTCGTGATTGTGGTTGTTGTTAAATGCCTTGATGACCAGTTTTTGACGGGCACGGTCCGATATCACGTAGATCCGAGCTGGACATTCCAATTTGATGGTCCTGAAACAATTGAAACAAAGATAATTAAAATACTGTAAATTCAGTAAAGTTTGCAGCATTTCTTTATTTGTAATTAAAATTCTATTTAACACTTTGCATTTTGCAATATCATTTAGTTGGATGTTGAATCAAGAGAAGTAAAAAACAGAAAATTTACAGTAGCTGAAGTCTTGTTTAGTTTAAAGTTAGTGTACAAAATGTGTATAAGTTCTCCTGTAGATGTTACACTTAACTGCTGACAGATTGATCCTTGTACTGCGGTCAGCAAAATTGTGTATTTTAATGGCCACTAGTAGTGGTTAGACTATTTTGATACCGGTAATAATTTAGTAATAGGTAGCAGACCCTCAAACAAGAATTTGGAGACCTCCATGAAATATATGAGATTTTGTACGTTTTTTATGTGTCTCATTGACTATGGAAATAAGGTCAGAATTACCATAATCTAGTTTAATTTATGGCTTTCTAAATTCAAATTACAATATTTTGCGTGCAAAATTCCTCTCCTTTGTCATACTTCATTTCAGTATGTCCTCATCAATTATGCAAATGACCTCTACATTAACATAATATATGCATAGTGATGTTAACTTTTAGGTAAATTACACATGTCACACAGTATATAAATAAAGTCCTATCATTCACAAATAAGAAATCACAGAATTTTCACATTATCTATGCAAATTAGGTCATCATTTCAATAATTGTTGATGTTCCGACTGCCATATATCAAATAGACTACATGTATAAATTTTAAACACCTTTAATTATAAAATTTCCTCCTTAATTATGCAGATTAAGTCTTCATTTGCATAATTTGCATTTAATTATGTACATCTCTCAGCTACCACGCAACATAAAAAAATGATGAAAATACGCTGTTCCTATCTTGACTTATCAGCCTTAAAAGATTTTGCCATAAAGTCGCTTGCAGTTCAGAACAAGCTGCTAGGTGGACCAAACCCATCCCACCCATTTCTGACAAGAAAAGCTATCTGTCACCAAGTAGTCAAGACCATAGCATGTTTGGGACAAAAGATACAAAAAACAAAAGTTCTGATGCATTACCAAGGTCAGCCACCAGGAGGCCCATATTTGACCTTGACCTTTGTCTTCAAAAGACTTACCAACATACTAAATATCATCTCAATCCATATAAAGGCATTCTAAACACACACACTCACAGACACACTAAAAACAATACCTCCATTTTTCATGGAGGTAAAAAGGGGCTACAGTGGCCAGCAGGTGGTCGTGCAAAGAATCCAGTAATTTGTTTGTCTGTACTCACGACTGGTTCACCCGGATCCCAGTACCTCGACAGCGAGCCTTCCCCGAGTGTATACATCCAAAATGGGCGTTAGCGTACACGTGTTCACTGGGATGTTTCTTCACAGAGGCCGAATATGTCTTGTTTCTTGCCTCCACAGTTGTACTGTACCTCTTACTCAACCTGACTTTATTTATCCTCTGGAACTCGTCCAGGACTGCTTTTAACTCGGACCATGTGGAGAAGGAGTCGCCGACCTTCAGCGCCGCAGCTCTGTCTGTGATTGCTTCTGCTGTGTACTGGAACCCACTGTTGGCAGGTTTTGTCCCTGCCACTGACGTGCTCTGCTCATCAGACCTGTTTCCTACTCTCTCACCCTGAGAGGACACAGGACGAGAGAGCGTTTCCGCCAAGTTGGCAACAGCAGACTCTAAAGAGGTTGTACGGTCCCCCTGTGGTGTATGTGACCTTTGAACTACAGGCGTGACCTGTGACCCCAGCACGTAGCCCTCTTGGTTGATAGTCATGACCTGTCCTGAAGGTACCGGTACTCTCTTCACGTTCAAGTTATTTGAGTTGTGTGTTTTCTGCTCATTGAATACAATCTCCTCTCCCTGCAAAGTGCCTGCAACTGCTGTTGCATTGCTGACTTTCTCCTGCATTGAACCTTCTTCCACAGGTGGGACGCTAGCTTCAGTTCTTAATCCCTTCTCCTGTCCTCTAACTTTATTTGAGAGTCTAGCCATTATACTATTTATAGAAAAATTTTCCCGCTTTATTGTCATTTTGGTGATTCTCCCACTACCTGATGACACCTTCATCTTGGGGTTGTTTGTTTCCTCGTTGTTTGACACAAACTTGTCTTCCTCTAAGACTGGTTCTAATGGTTTTTTGTTGACAGTATCTGGCCTGAGTGTGCTGTGACTGGCAGGATCCGTACTGGCTGGGCCTGGTTCACTGCAGAAGTGAAGACGACACATATGTCATCATCAGTCAATTTCTAAAACATGACATCAGTATTTATATAATTTGTATTACATGTAGTTTTTAATTTATAATAACTACTAGTAATAACTAAGACATGTAGTTACAAATTAAGACAAATTAAAATAAATCCATGTGCAAAGCATGCTGGATCATCTGATGTACAATAATGCCTTATTATAGGGCTAAAATCTAATCATTTCAAGGTCTCATCAAGACCTACCTACCAAGTATGAAGACATTCATATTTAAGCCTTATCGTGTTTACAGACAGACAGGCAGACAGACACACACACAGACACACAAACAAACGAACGCCTCTGAAAACATAACCTTCTTGGTGAAGGGAAAAATATATTCTACGGAAGCCACGAAAAGTAGAGAAAGATGTAACACACAGTGTTTTTCAAGGAGAAAAGAACCCATGATGGTGATCAGTTTCAGTATACTAGTATATGATGTGCCATGAGGCTCTTTGTCCTGTAGTGTATTATGTGTTGATGCAACTACGAACTAGTACAACAATTGTTTATCAAACTAATAGCATACCATAGCAAGTAAGTTTTATGGATGATATCAGCGCACGCATTAATTTTTGCCTGATTTTGGAAAAAAAAAACAAGAAATTTTGTTGCCTTCTGACAGTGGTCAACATGCTGAAGATGTCTGTTGACAAGCCGGAAGGTGGATGGCAGATAACTATGAAGAGAGGAGACAAGACAAGGCTCTGATTTAATGTGCTCTGATTTAACTTTGATGCAGCACTAGTGATATGTGATGCTGGCTGTGTATATGTGATGTTCCCACTGAATCAAAACCATTTGTACAATGATTAAGTCAAAATTTTAAAATGTAACGGGGGGTGCCCTAATTCCGACCCATCCCTAATACCGAACTAGTTTGAAAAATCCTTGTTGCGGCGTTATGCATGTGAGCACGTGCCTAAAAATAACCACAAGAATGGACAAAGTTTTTGTATTGATATCGGTAATCTCACAAAGTTTGTTTTAGTTTGTACATTCCGGCAACAGACGAGTGAAAAATATGTGTGAATTCGACGCTTGTTCGCAGGTTGACGAGCGTGTCAAAAATGCAGGTTTTGCTTTTCAAACAGCCACTTTGGAGCAAGTCGCGTAATCGTAAAAAGATTACTTGTTTGGGACAGAAAAACAGTTGTAGATTGTTTTAGTCATAATTTGTGTATTATTATTTCTAAACTCTCTTCTCAGATCGACCTGTGTTAAACACTAGGTCGGAATTAGGGCACCCCTGTTGCGATAGAACGTTCCACCGGCAAAATGACCAAAAACCTGCCGTGCGTTTCGCGAACCATTACGCTTGGGTGCAAGGCGCTACACTAAAGTGAAATATACAGCTGTACAGCTTTAATCATTGTGATCTTTATCTGTCAATATTATAGCTCATGTTACGCGGGTTTTTGGTCAGATAAACTATTACCAAAGGTCTGTGCGTTTGCATGGAACATAGGTCGGAATTAGGGCACCCCCCGTTAACGTTAGGAACCTTGTTTTTTTCGGCCCGCCTTGGTTTTTTTTTCGCACGCCTGATTAGATTTGGAGTCTGCGGAGGATGTCATCCATAAAATTCACTTGTTGTGGCCTAAAGGCCCGGACACAACAACCATAAGTTCATACTATCTGGAAAATACTGGCTGTGCCCTGGTTCTTGCTTCTTTGATTGAAACAACTGCGGTGTGAGACCCAAAAACGTGACAACTTAAAACTACTCGAAAAAACAAGACGAAAACCAGTCTGTTTTGCAAACTCAATACAATGAAAACCATACCTTTGTGCACCAGGATGTTGTGCAGCCATTTCGTCACTTCTGGTTGACAAAAGTGTCTAAAATAACTAAACGCGAACAATTTTTCCACCAAATCTTTATCTTGTGGCTTCGCAACCCTTCAAAACCCTTTTCCGGGTTTTAAAAGGGGCAGCATCTAACCAAATATTTCTTCACACTAACTTCTAAGACTCGTAATAGCATCCATTTTAAGAAATAAAATTACATCATAGCCTACATACATCCTTTATACAAATTCAATTGATATGGTGTGATAAATTTGCTTTGTTATCGAATAATTGGCAATTTTCCATTGATTGGTTTGTTGCGTACCGCTGCCACCAAAAGGTCAAAGTTGAAACGTCGCGGCGAGGGCGAGCCCGCGGAATTCTGTCATCATTTCCTGGTGGCAATTTTTGGTCAAAAACCTTCATTTTCGTCGTTTTGACGTCACCGAAAAGCCCCGTGGAGAACGTCTGTTTACAACGGCGGTTAATTACCATCAAAAAGGCTCGGTAAGTACACGTGAGCAGCATTATTTGAGGTTTAAACTTCAATGAAAAACACCGCGGGGCCGCGTGGCGAGGTCTCTTGTGGTCGTCTATGGGGGTATCGGGTGGCGTGGCTGACTGAGGAATATCTCTTTTTAATCTCTCAGCCTCAGAGATTTCTAACGCATGTTCAATTTTACAATCACATAATCTCTGTGATGCGTCAATGATTTCATGTAGAAGTTGAGGCGAATACAAAGAAAATGCCACGTAATTCACTGAGGTGAGGTCATGAGTAATCTCCAAGCAGATCTTTTGGTGGGGGTAAGACAGTATCAAATTGGCCAGTCTGTACCATGAGGTGCTGCGAGCCAACCGGCCCAGAACGCCACAGCTGGTTCTGGTTAGGCACCGCAAGATAACGTCAGGCGGCTAGATAAACAACAACATTCATATCAGTCTCAGAACTGGTCCTCGGGTAGCCTGAGTGCCAAACACTTTCCAGGGCCTTCACAGGCCTGTTCCTCAACTTCAGGGCCAACATGTATGTATAAGTCCCATATTACCGTGACGGTCGTAGGGGCATCATGACAGCCAGCAGCATGTCTTGACTTGCCATGACTTGCATGTCCCCAAAGAAATACATGTAGGGCCTAGCTAGCCTAGCCTAGCGTTGTCTGACACCCAGGCTAATCCAGAGCCGCTACCCCGCCAAAGCTTAAGAGATAACAAGGCTGGACTCCAGGATGAAACTTTGAGTGTGACGGTTTCTTAGAATCTGACTAGCCTCTACCAGGCTTGAGGGCGCGGCTGGAAATAGTAGAAATTGGCCAAATAGAGAGATAACATGCCGAGGGAGTTTAGCCATTCAGTTTGCCGTCGCTCCTGTCGGTTTCGTCACGGTCCGGTCGCAGAGCAAAAAAAGGGTAATTTAGCTACTTGGCACCTATTAGATAGCGATTAGTGGACTTCAAAGAAGATAGCGATATTCCACAGGCTTGTTGGCCGACAAACTTACAGTAAACTGGATGGCTTAACTCCCTAGGCGTGTTATCTCTCTATTTGGCCTATTTCTACTATTTCCAGCCGCGCCCTCAAGCCTGGTAGAGGCTAAATCTGACTTGGTCCTTCCTGTGTTGTAGAAATGTGTTATAGCTACCTGGAGTTTATAGTAAAACGTAATGTGGAGGTCTCCTGAATGCAGCGTACTTATGCATAGCGGGCTCTCAAAATTTAGTGTAGTCTCAGCGTTGCCACCACCCCCCACCCCCCATGCAGGCCCTCATTGGCCAGAGGAGCTTGGTGGCCAATGGACACTCCTCTGGTCAGTGGTACTGCCATGTCACCTATGATCTGCTTGGAGATAAGTGTTAGCCCAGACAGAAACCGCCATGATTTTGCTCCTGAGGTTAGGTGTCACTAGCTTGGGGGCAAAGATCTGGTAGAAATGAATGCATGTGGACTGGTCCTAACAATAGACCAATTATAGGGACATCTTTTGTCGACAATATGTCGAAAGACATGGGGATACATGATAAAATCTAGACTTCTCGCTCAAAGGGATTGCATTGATCAGGCATTAGGTAGTTTCTGTCCGAGGGAATCAGGACCATTATACTTACCAACTTTGCCCATCGCAAATCTGCTCAACTTGACGCACCACCCTGGTTGACTCAGCCCACCGCCCTGGTAACTGGTGATCTTACAGCTAAAAGATTTTGGGATTCAGTTTTTGTTTCAAATTCTGCATTCTAACTATGCGTGTACCTTCTGTGGGTACCAGACTACCGGAGTATGTTGAGGTAAGCACGAAGGGTAGCAGAATTCTGGCGCAAGTATAATGAGCCTTGGCGTCACCAGTGAGTGGTAGGCAAAAAGTAGGCATATGCATATATAATTGGTCTAAACGAAAACAGGGCTAATTTACACGAGACAAAAATATCCAACTCCACACGGCGCTATGCGGTGCATGTGGGGCGACCAATTTTTTGAGCGTGTAAACAAGCTCACCGCCTCCGCGTGGCGATTTTTCTGTGGCAAATTCAGCGGGGTCACCTGCGGCAGTGGCAAGCCTGTTTACACGCTCAAATAATTGGTCGCCCAAGACGCTGCAGGTCAAATAATATTTTTGCCCCGTTAATTGGGCCATGGTGATTGCCCGTATGAATAATGCATTTACAGCAAATTCAGAAATTATGTAATGCATTGTTTTATTTTCAGCCACTACTCATGATCACTGATTATGGTAAATACTTAGGATTGGACTTCCCAAAGAGAAGACACACAGAGCCCCCCCCCCTAACCCCTAAGGATGTAAACTAGAATCAGATGTTTGGAGCTTTGATATCATCAATGATATTAAGGGAATATGACTACTACTATTACTAAGCATTGTTACTGGAAACCTGTCTCATGTCAATGTCACTTGCTTGTTTCTGCAGGCAGGGAATAGCTAATACAGCTGAGCTGCAGTCGACAGCAGAACCCAACTCAGTTGGTCCATAAGGTAATATAAGAAGCTTCTTTCAATGTTGTCTTTAATTGTGCCATATGGTACTGAACTTCAAGGATACTTTAAGGGGCATCAGCCTTGGAAAATATTTGAGGATGCCAAGGAAAATACTTATCTCAAATGAAGTTACTGGATATTTATTGCAAAGTAATTATTATTGGAATAGTAATCAGGGTTCTAGCTAGGATGTAATTTTAGCGTAGTGGTACTGGTCGCCTGTTGATGGGCCCTCCTTCCATGGTGCGGAGCTTTTAAAAATTTGAGCTAAAAACGGGGCCATTTGAGGGATACCCAAAGGGAAAAAAATGTTATTTCTAAGGTATGTACAATGTATCCTTGATTGGTAATTTTCCACATTTGATCTGGCATTCTTGAACAAAGAAATACAGTCCCAATGCCCCTATGCTGTATGTGTAGAGGGGGGGAATTTAGCGTAGGGGGTCAAAATCTTAGCGTAGGGGGGGAAATTTAGCGTAGGGGGTCAAAATTTTAGCGTAGGGGGCCCTTTGTGCTAGCTAGAACCCTGTTAGTAATATTTATTCTTTTTGACTAAATAAAACTTTTGGTGTGGTCAACAGAGACAGGAACATGGAAGAGGAAGAGGAAGATAGGCACACAGAAGAGAAAGATGAGGAAAATGGAAACCCCAAAGGATTTCTGAAATGTACAGAATGTGACAAAACCTTTGTAAGTGCCTCCAAGTTGAAGTCTCATGCCAGAGTTCATGCTGGTCAAAAACTTGTTTTGGCTGTAAACACTGCCCAGCCAAGTTTGTGTATGAAAATCAGCTCAAGCTGCACAGACAAAATTCATGAGGGGAGCGGTGCCTATGCTTGTGCTCAATGTCCGGACAAAATTCACCCTAGCGTGGGGTACTAAAGCTGCATGAGAAAACCCATGTCAAGAAAAAGGCCTTTTCATGTTCAGAGTGTTCAGCGAATTTCGACAGTGAAGGCAGCCTGAAAGAACACAAAGAGTCTCACAGGTTTCCATATGCCTGCATGCAATGTACAGCAAGATTCAGTACAGCACGAGACCTCTGGGAGCACGAGAATGTCCACAACGATGAAGGACCAGGCAGCGACTTAGATGAGCCTGCACATGTAGAGATTTCAGTCGCAGCTGAACAGGACAGCAGCAAAAATGTGAGCAAGAAGAAACTGCATGGCTGCAGGAATTGCAGTACGTGGTTTGTCAGCACAGATCATCTTCAGAAACATAAATGTACAAATAGTAAAACTCCCATTGAAGAAAAGCCATATCAGTGTTCAAAGTGTCCTGAAAAGTTTGCCTATAAGAAAACTCTGAAGGAGCATGAGAAAAAACATGCCAAGAAGACACAGTTTTCGGCTGGGGCCAGTAGTGAAGATCTTTCAAAGACTGTGAACCTGACTGATTCGAATTCATTAGCAGGACCAAAGAAGAAAAGTCTGAAAGAGCATGAAAGAAAAAATGCTCAGAAGACACAGGAGTGCACAACAGAGGCCAGTAGTGAACTGGAAAGTATTTCAGAGATTGTGGACCTGACTGATGATTTGACAGAAGGACCACAAGATACTACCGAATATGACAGTCTTCAGGAAAGTCAATTTAAATCCATGGATGAGATGCCACTGCAAACCTGCCCACATTGTAATGCTTCCTTTGCCACCAGCTGGAGGCTGAAGAGTCACATGACGATGCATGCAGGCAAGCTTGTGCATCACTGCTCCAAATGTCCTGCCAGCTTTACATCAAAAGTAGGCCTGAAGAAACATGAGAAGAGGCATAGTAGGAAACAAAGTTACAGTTGTACTCAATGCCCTGCCAAGTTCACTGTCTGGAGTAATCTGCAAAGGCATAGGAAGTCACACAAGGGTGCCAAACCGTTCAGTTGCCCTGAGTGCCCGGCCAAGTTCGTTAGTTACGTTGAGAAGATGAGCCACATGGACGTACATGGCAAGGCTCACAGCTGCTCGCATTGTGGTGCAAAATTCACCCACTACAGCAGCCTGGTGAGCCACCAGAGGTGTCACCAAGTGGAGAAGAAGAAGGTTTACAGTTGTACTAGCTGCCCGGCCAAGTTTGCTCAACCACACAGTCTCAGGCTACATCGAAGGATCCATGGTACTGTAGATTACAACTGCCGCGAGTGTCCGGCAACATTCCAGAAACGGGGGCACCTTGAGAGTCACATGCTGGTCCACACAGGTGGAGACAAGCCTCACAAGTGCAAGTTCTGTTCGGCTCAGTACAAATGTATAAGTCACCTCACAAAGCATGAAAAGCTTCATCAGGAGGTAGATGTGGTTAGCATGCCACCAAATGAAGCTTCACCATTTAGCAATGAAGACAAGCAGTGTGTTGAACAGACAGGCAATAAGAGGAAGCACAGAGATCAGGAAGCAACAAGGCCTGCGAAGAAGAGCTACAACTGCAAAGAGTGCCCAGCAAAGTTCACCAGTGCAAGTCACTTGTGGAGTCACATGCAGGTGCATTTTGGTGGAGAAAAGCCCCACCACTGCCCCCACTGTTCTGCCACGTTTGCCTCACCCTATCACCTCACAAGGCATCTGGAGGTCCACAAAGAGGATACAGATTTGGACAACTCAAGTCTTCTTCAAGATGCTGAGGCCACATCAGAAGTACCCAGAAAAAAACAGAAGCAGCAGCCTCCTGCAAGCAATGTGAGATACAGCTGCTCCATTTGTTCTGAGGAGTTTCTGCATCCACAGGATCTTAAAGTCCACTGGAGGACCCACAGTAGAGAGAAAATCATATACAGCTGTGATGAATGTCCTGCTACTTTCCCCCACTTGGGTCATCTGAAAAGGCATCAAAAGGCCCACAAAAATGATGGTCTCTACCATTGCCCTTACTGCTCAGCCAAGTATGATGCACGTGCTAATTTAACGATGCACATGAGGGCCCAGCATCTAGTTGATGAAAGGGACAGGCCGTATGTCTGCCCAGAGTGTCCTGCTAATTATCTCCGCCCAGACCACCTGCGAAGCCACCTGAAAGTGCACAGGGAAGGGCCTGTACAGAGACCAAACAGGTGCCAGCATTGCACAGCCACTTTTGGAACACCCTCAGAGCTTACAAAGCACATGAAGCTCCACACTCTGAACGATGGAGGTAATGAGGGAGTGAAGGAACACCTTTGTCCTAAATGTCCAGCTGGGTTCAGGAATGCCCATGATCTCAGTCAGCATCTTGAGAAGGTTCACATCAACAAGTCCAACGTCTGCACAGAGTGCCCAGCAAGGTTTAGTCGTCCTGACCACCTGAGGAATCACATGTTGTTACACTCAGAAGTAGGCCAAGACCAGCGGCTCTACCACTGCAACTATTGCAGTGCCAAGTTTCACGCCAAGTACCATCTCACCAGCCACGAAAGGCTCCACAGTCCATCCAATCCAGAAACAGCCATGTCTTCCTACAAGTGCCCACATTGTTTGCGAAGGTTTAAAACAGTGAAGTCAATGAAGAACCACATTAGGAGTTGCCTCCTTGCTAAAGAAAATAGACCACACACCTGTTCACACTGCCCAGCTAAATTTGCCTTTGCTTCAACACTGAAGAGCCACATGAAAACTCACATTGTTGAGGAGCCAGGCAATAGTCCGCAGGATGCTGCGGTATTATCTTCTACCACAGAACTACCATCTCCAACCACTTCCAGCCTGACATCAGCTGGTGATGATGGTAAGAACTACCACTGCGAAGAATGTCCTGGCAAGTTTTCTTCTGAATATCACCTGAAGAGACACCAGGAAATACACAATGCCAGTAATGCGAGGCCATACAGTTGCTCCTTCTGCACTGCAAAGTTCAGTAACACTGGTCGCCTTGTAGAGCATGTCAAGATTCACAAACAGGAGTCACCTCCTCCACCTCCCTCAGAGTCAGAGACAGTCCTCCAACTTTCAACAAAGAAGAGAGGCGTGAGGGTGATATATCGTTGTAATGTGTGCGATGCGACATTTACAACGCAAGTGCACCTGAACACACACAAGAAGGTGCACTCACAGGATAACCTGTACAGCTGTTCAAAGTGTCCAGCAAAATTTGACCAGCAAAGTTACCTGGAAGACCACATGAAGACACACTCAGCAAGTGTGCAAGAGTCCTCGAAGACAGCAAAACCTACAGAAAGCACCGGTAAGAGCAAGGATTCTGCTGCCAAGAAGACCAAATGGTTCACTTGTCAATACTGCAAGTCCAAGTTCAGAGGAGCGTCAAGACTCGCCGTGCATGTTAATGTCCATCATTGGGAAGAGAAGCAAAGGAGCAAGTCCCAGCCAGCATCTCAGAACATTCAGGACCGTTTCAATGGCAGGAATTACAAATGTCCACAGTGTCCTTCCAAGTTTACCAATGCCGTGAGCCTTACGATTCACCAGCGGGTCCATCAGGGTGACAGGCCACACAAGTGTCAGAAGTGCTTGGCTACCTTCTCGACACCTGGTAGTTTAAAAAGGCACGTGGACTCGCGCCATGGGACTGGGATGAGGCGTCACACTTGCCCATACTGTCCTACCAAGTTTCTCCGATTGGGTCATTTGAAGGTGCATCTGATCGTACACACCAGGGAGGGGCCTGGTCTGCACCACTGCACCCACTGCACCGCGAAGTTCCTCCACAAGACAACATTAACCCACCATCTGAAGGTACACAATGTCAAGTCCTATAAGTGCAATAGGTGTTCTTTGGAGTTCTCATCTCGAGAAGATCATAGAAAGCATCAAAGGACTCACTCTGAGAAACCGGCCTCTACCAAACAACCAAACAATGCTGCCAGCAGCAGTAAGGTACAAAACCATGAGGCAGACAAGAAGACCTCTTCAGCGGATCGTCCATACACCTGTCAGAAGTGTTCCCGTAAGTTCCTGAGCTCCCAGCAGCTGGAGTATCACATGGTGTGGCACAGTGGGGACAGGCGACATGAATGCTCCCTTTGCTCCCAGACGTTCCCCACAGTACAGAGCCTGAAGGAGCACAGGAAAACGCACGCCGGTGAGAGACCTTTCAGGTGTCCGATGTGTCCTGCGGACTTTGAACGCAACAGCAGCCTGAAAAGGCATGTAGAGAATAAGCATTTTAAAGAAAATGATGAGAGTAGCACAGGTGTTTCCCCAACAACCCAAAGAGTATCAGATGAACCACAGAAGGGAAGCTCTGATGGGAGTAACAAAAACTCTCCCAAGCAGCAGAAAACCAACACTGGGAGAGAGAAGTTTTACTCTTGTTCAACATGTTCACAAAAGTTTAAAAGGTTTCAAGATTTGAAAAAACACAGGAAAAGCCATTCTCGAGGAAAGCCTGCAAAACGCACTGGCAAAAGGGTGACATGTCCAGAGTGCAAGGCCAGCTTCTCTGATTTAAGAACCCTTGAACGCCATCAGAGAATCCACACTGGTGAGAAACCATTTGCGTGTCCCATGTGTTCGGTACGGTTTGCCAGAAAAGATCATTTATTGAGGCATGTTGCAACTAAACATGCTGAGAGCGAGCCAGCCAATCCTCCCACATTGAACCAGGAGCCATGCCCCAAACCTCACAAGAAGGTCTACAACTGCCCTGAATGCCCAGCCAGGTTCAGCACTGCTGAGTTACTGACACGTCATAAGAAAATCCATCCCATCTTTACCAAAGAAACACCAAACAAGGTGAGTCATTCTTTTGTCGTTACAAAATCTGCCAGATACAATGACAGACTTATCGAAATAAATGTACTATAAGCAGATTTTGTTTGATACCAGGACATATTGTATATTTAAAAAGCAGGTGTTTTGATATGGCAATAGTTGGATGTTCTAAAGTTCCAGGGACTTATTGCCTTCAGTCAAATTTTTAATTCAGCATATTGAGCCATTGCTGGCATGGATTGCTAGTTTTAGTTACGGCACTTATGTGTATGTGAAGGTGTCCATAAAGATATGCCACTCTCTAGCATTGTCTTTGTCATCCTACATTTACACACAACACAAGACATTCTTTGTCAATGTGCTGATTTTTCAGTAAGTAGAAGAATCATAACTTTTTTTGTTTGCATACTCTCTCCCAGAGTTCCTCAGCATCTAACCTGGCTACGCTGGAAGTGGTGGAGACGCAGGTTGTCCACGAGCCAGGGGCAGCCTCACACGTCGAGACTGTCGTTGTGGCCAACCTGGAGCAACTTCCCATACACGGGTCAGAAGATGCCACAGTAGACAAAGTGTTACAAACAGATGACAAGTCTAGAACTCCAGAATCTTCTGAATTTCCACAGTACCACAAAGGTCATCAGCAATCAGGGAGCAGCTCTTCTGCAGGGCACCTAGCTGAAGGCAATACTACACAAGTAGCAACGGTGTCAAGAGAAGCAGCGACAATGCATGATCATGCTTCCCATCTCATGAAACAACTCCAAAAGGGAAATGAGCAAGTCCCTGCCCCTGGCAATGTACCACTTCTGCAAGGCCTGTGGCAGAGGTCAGACACAACCAGCCCTCCCCAGGGCATTGTCCCTGTAGGGCTGTCCTATGGGGAGGCACTACAGGCTGGGGAGACCATACTGCAGGCTTCCATGGCAAACAGCTACTACTGTGGCTGGAACAGGAATACCATCCAACAACAGGTAACACAGACAAGCTCGTCTGCAAATTCACCTGGAATAGGCCAGGTGTTACAAGTGTCATCGGCCAGAACCAATCAACAAATGCCACTTGATGATCGACCGCCCAATCAGGGCCAAGCTAATTCCCATAATGTGGTGCAAAACAATGAAAATAGGAGACAAGTTCAGCATAGGGATGAGGGCAAGCACCAAGACATCAGATACTTCTGTATCGGTTGCAAGCAAGTCTTTGCCACAGACAAAGACCTCAAGGATCATCTGCAAGGTAGTGAAGAGACACCCGGCCAAGATAGTCATAAGATAGTCGTGCTACAGAAGAAAACTACTACTTCGGATCAGGAAAAGACATCTGCGTGTAGCGAAGCTAACGTACTGGTTGTGCCGAGGCAGAGCATGAACAGAGTGGTGGCAAACTGCAGCCATGTCTTCTGTGTTCTCTGTGCGGGGAAGGTCAACATCAATGACCTCTCCCACCATGTCAGGATTAAACACGGGATATATTCATTAAACGGGGAGTACCCCTTTGGGCAGGCGACTAGCTGTATGACTTGCAGTCGAAGGCTGTATGGTGAAGAAGATGTACAGAAACACACGAGCAAGAGGCACATTGTGCTAAGGGACACAGCAGGACCCTTTCTTGCATACGACAACACCCAGAGAATCAGTGATACTGATGAGGACACAGAAAATGACAGACAACTCACTGATTCAGCTAATAGAGGAAACAATTTACTTGAAGAGTCAAGTTTGTCAACAAGTGACTTGTGTAACAGGATGGGCAATAATTCCTCTTCAGAAAAGCCAGGCTTGCCCAGTGCTGCAATGACAACTTTATCGACTAAAGATGACAAAGAAATGCTGTTGTCGAAAGGTGCGTTTTCACTCAGTGATGCCCAAAAGAAGAAATTTTTGATGATTTCAAGGGCAGCCGATGCTTGCCTCAAGAAAAAGCGGTATCTCGTCATACGGGGCAGTGATGGTACTGACAGATCAGCATGCTCCTCCCCCCTAACAGACTGCAGTAGCTCCCATGATACTACTCAGTCACCACCTCTGAACACCCTTGAGCCACAAGCACAGCCTACATGCCATATTAAGATTGAAGAAGGGGAGAAGTCAAGTGCTTGTGCTTCCAGCAGTCTGAATGAACAGCCAAATTCGAACAATAATTCTCAGTATGTGGCTGCAAAAGCAAGTCTACAAAAACAACTAGCCATGGTGGCTGGTATCCTGTCATCAACCCTTAGAAAGACATCTTCCACTGAACTGAATCCTAAGATGAAAGATCAGAGAAATACTACAAACTCTCAGGTTACTACACCAATTGCAACTCTTCAGACTAAAGGAGGAAAGGGCTCTCTGAGCAGTGTATCTATAAAGACAGAACCAGTTTCTGCTGAGGTTGGAAGTGCTGATGTTGGTATGTCTGCCCCTTCAGATGCAGAAGGCATGGAGGATTTAGGGGATGTCACTGCCATAAATGAACCTCTCAAGTCTATCAAGGAGGACGTTGACAACTTCTAGAGGATGTCTTATTACTGACTTTCAATGAAGAACATCTTCCTTTTAGGATCAAATTGTACATGTCATGAGTAATGGTGCTGTTTTTGTATGTACTGTATAAATTGCAAGATAACATTTAAATTCCTACCATTAGAATTCCTTTTCTTATTTTGATTTATCTCTATTATAGGTGACCTTCCAGGTACATGTACTAGAGACAGTAGGTGAGATCCTCAGCCCAAGTAGTGACTCGCACGTATCAGAATGATATGTTGTCAGAAACATTGCAAAATGCAGCCTTCGTGTTTTCATATGTCTCTAATACCTGACGACAAAGGAATATAAAGAGAAGATGACTTTAACATATTTTTATTCAAGCTTTCTCAATTGTTTATGACAGTCTATTATGACATGATGTGAACCCAGGATTAACCACTAAACCTTAGAACCAAGAAAGGATTTTTATTCATTAATCATGGCATTATTCATGTTAGCAGGTGTTCATTATTGAATAACAAATCAGTGAACATATGTAATACATATGTATAATGATGTACGTCTCAGCATTCCTCCTTACTGCCTGAAGTAGTTGTCATCACCGTCTTCATGGTATGCTAAAGAAATAATGCAGAGAATGTTATTTTTAGCGCAAATTCATGCAAATAGGATCTTATTTGCATTATCAATTAAAAATATTTATAGTTTTTCAGCCACAATTATGGTTAACATCATTTGGCGAAGGTATGAGTTCGTGGAGCTCTAGTAATTTTGTAACCATCTTGTCAAATTCTGGGACCCAAATCAGGTCTTGAATTGTTGACAACTCGCTTTAATGATTAACAGTCTTGACTGCGCGGCCTTTTTTTAACGCCATGTATGCAATTAATCTCGACAAAACTCTCCTTGACAATTAATTACGTACTTTTTATCTAGAGCTTGGCAGGGTTCCATTATCCGCGGGGTTGTGTTGATCTCTAGCTTGTCAAACAGTCAAGTCAAGTCAAGAATGTCAACGGAGCCGATGGCACACACTGCACATTACGTGCCTTCTGTACGTCGTGGTATGTCAATAAAACATCGAGCTAGCTAAGCTCTAGCCTGATTAAATCGCTTTTGCCGGCCGCCCAACATCCAGCCGGACTATGTAGGGAGCCCCCCGGAGCTTGGGTTTCGCAGGCTAGCCAAGCTCAGGGACAACATTACATACTACACGAGCACACTGGAAACGTTTTAGTGGCCATAGTCACATAGTTCGATGTAGTTGTTTTTTCTGACAAGATAGAGATACAAACAATTCCACTGGGAACTCGGACCCTGCCGTGCGCTTGGTACGTAGAATTTCGCGTGTGGCTTTAAGGGAATCGCCTATGGGGTCTTGAACTACCATGTCAACTTGTGGAATAAATGATCATCATATTATTAAATAAATAGAGCAGGCGGGGCCAGGGTGAGACTGTGTTTTCTATAGTTACCAGACAGACACACAGTACACAGTAGAGTCTGGAGACTCTGGACTCTCTTGGCCTCCGCCATATGATCAAGTTCGATGGCCTCCACAGAAGATCTTGTCCCGGTGAGGAGCGGTAGATGTCCCTCCTGCCGCTCGTGTGGTTCCAACTGGGTGACAAAGTCGCTCCGTAAACGTCTGGACAAAACTCTCAGCTCGCAAGCCGCGGTCGGCATCATCGTTTGCGTCACGGTTTGCGTCGCCGTTGCTTCGTTCCTGTCCTTCCAAGACGCCATGTCGAGCTGCGAGGACAAGTCCGAGGTTCTACTGATAGTTTTCACCGTCTTCGTGTACCTCGGAATCCCCTGTCTCGCGGCCATGGCCTACGCCATCCGGCGGGATGCCTTCGTAACAGACGACAGCGACCATGGATTTGGGACAGAAAGCATGGAACTGTCTTTGATTTTCGTGTCATTTGTTTTTCCAGCTGTCGGCTGTGTTGCTCTTGACGTCGTCTTCTTTCTGCTGCTCGGTTCCTGCTTTCACCGCGATGGAAGCTTCCCTGCGTCTTCAGCCAGCTACCGAGTCGGCATGGCGTTTCACGTGGGGAGGTTGGTTTTCGTGGTGACGCAGGTCGCCATGGTCGGGTGGTGTTTCTGGACCAGGAGCTTTGCCAGACAGAAAGTGTACACGGCTTTGCTATTTACCGCTGTCGTCACGTCGAACTTGGCATCCTGCTTTTACGAAATCGTGGACAGGCCGTCGGTGCTGTGTACAAACAACAACACGTGCTGGGACACCGCCGCCTCGAAATCGGACACCTGTCGCGACGTTGACGCTTTCACCGTGGAATACTGTACCTACGTACAGTTTCAGCTGTACTGCCAACCGCTTGTTGGAACGTTTGCAATGCTCTCCCTCGCCACCATGTACCGCATGTGGACCACAGCACACGAGGGGGTGGTGGAAAACACTGATGACAGGCGCCCTGTACGTGCACAACCAAATGTTACGGGACGCCGCCGCACTGGCGCGTTTGCGAAGTTGTTCACGGTAACCGTAGCAGTTCTCTCCGTCACTTTTTGGGCTATCACCAATCAGGCCACCACGGTGTCGAGCTCGGCAGACTACTACAAAGTCGTCCTGTACTACTCCACCAAGGTACTGTACTCCTCCCTGTTCACAATATCGACGATAGCTGGATGCGTCCGTACCCGAGCCGTCGGTACCACCGCCTATCGGCCCCGCGTCGCTGACATCTTGCTGCTTCTCCTAAGCGCAGCGGGACTGTTGGTGTTCGTCGGAAGAGTATTGTGGGGAGTCGGCAGCCAGGCATCGGTACCCTTTCAGTATACGCCACCGGGTTGCACATACCACATAACAGAGGGCGACTTCGGAAAACTAAGAGCTGTCTTAATCGCAGACGTCGTGCTGACGTTGGCGCAACTTATTCTACAAACGACGTCCCTGCTTTCAGCCATAAGTCACAAGCAGTTAGAGGGCAGCGTGGAATCCCACTACGGGCTCCTCTGTCTCTTCAATTTCTGTGTTTGGATCAACGGTAGTTTCTTCGAGGTCCAGTCCACGCCGCTGGTGACGTGCTACACGACTCCCGTTCCGCGCGCGGCGTTCGGGTTCGGCGATTGGAACGTCTTCCTCCACCTCCTGCAGCCCGTCTGCACGTTCTACTGGCTGTGGTCGCTCCTGCTCATGATGCGGCTGCTTTTGCAGAGGGTACGCGTGAGTCCGGGCTCCGGAGGAACCACTGAGACCGCACACGCCCGCCGCAGCCCGACTGTATCAGCAGCCGTTGAACTCTCTCCTCTGAGAGATGCTCACTAATGCCACACGCAACAGGACTGTCGCACGACGCTTGACGTATGTAAATACTGCAACTGTCTTACGACAGCTGAATACTGCAACTGTCGTACGACATGTACAGATGATGGTTTCACCCAAAGAAACAAATGGTAGCGTTGTGTTCCATTAGGAAGATGATGCGACATTCATCTTAGTTATGCGTAGTGTTAACTATAGGCATCCGGTGCAGTTTTTAGGGCTTGGAAACCCGATTTTTCAGAGCCAGTATTCTGGTCATTTATCTACATACTAAGTAAAAGCCACACTATCCCAATGCATATGGACCCTCATGGAGCAAAAATTCTGATGGAAAACGGTCACTGGATTGACCCTGGGCTGATTTTTAGGGTACAACCCAGAAAATAAAGGACTCATCTTGGGGCTTGTTTCTAGAGACAGTAGGTGAGATCCTCAGCCAAAGTAGTGACTCGCACATATCAGAATATGTTGTCAGAAACATTGCAAAATGCAGCCTTCATGTTTTCATATGTCTCTAATACCTGACGACGAAGGAATACAAAGAGAGAGAAGATGACTTTAACATGTTTTTATTCAAGCTTAAGCTTTCCCAATAGTTTATGACATTGTCTTATGACATGACAGGATTAACCACTAAACCAGTTACATTGGAACCAAGAAAGGATTTATATCCATGAATCATGTCATTATTCATGTTAGCAGGTGTTCGTCATTGAATAACAAATCAGTGAATATATGTAATACATATGTATAATGATGTACGCCTCAGCATTCCTCCTTACTGCCTGAAGTAGCTGTCATCACTGTCTTCATGGTATGCTAAAGAAATAATGCAGAGAATGTTATTTTTATCGCAAATTCATGCAAATAGGATCTTATTTGCATTATCAATTAAAAATACTTATAGTTTTTCAGCTACAATTATGGTTAACGTTATTTGGCGAAGGTATGAGTTCGTGGAACTCTAGTAATTTTGTGACCACCTTGTCAAATGACGGAACACAGTCTGGGACCCGAATCAGGTCTTGAATTGTTGACAACTCGCTTTAATGATTAACAGTGTTCAGTTCGCGGCCTTTTTTTAACGCCATGTATGCAATTAATCTCGACAAAACTCTCCTTGACATTTAAATTACGGACTGTTCTGAACGACATCTAGAGCTTGGCAGGGTTCCATTATCCGCGCGCGGGGTAGTTTTGATCTCTTTTGTCACTTCATGTTGTAAAAATGTCAACGGAGCCAATGGAAAGTAACTAAAGGATTGATCAATTACACACACTGCACAATACGCGTGCCTACTGCACGTCGTGGTGTGTCAATAAAACATCGAGCCAGCTAAGCTCAGGGACGACATTACATAATACTACACGAGTACACTGTAAACATACAGATGTCCCCTTACAGTTTTAGTGGCCATAGTTCGATGTTGTTTTTTTCTGACAAGATAGAGATACAAACAATTCCACGGGAAACTTGGACCCTACCGTGCGCTTGGTACATAGAATTTCGCGTGTGGCTTTAAGGGAATCGCCTATGGGGTCTTGAACTACCGTGTCAACTTGTGGAATAAATGATCAGACCTGAATAAAACAGACCAGGCAGGGCCAGGGCGAGACTGTGTTGTTTATAGTTACCAGACAGACACACAGTACACAGTAGAGTCTGGAATCTCATGGCCTCCGCCATATGATATAGTTCGATGGCCTCCACAGAAGATCTTGTCCCGGTGAGGAGCAGTAGATGTCCCTCCTGCCGCTCGTGTGGTTCCAACTGGGTAACAAAGTGGCTCCGTAAACGTCTGGACAAAACTCTCAGCTCGCAAGCCGCGGTCGGCATCCTCGTTTGCGTCACGGTTTGCGTCGCCGTTGCTTCGTTCCTGTCCTTCCAAGACGCCATATCCAACTGCGAGGACACATCCGAGGTTCTGCTGATAGTTTTCACCGTCTTCGTGTACCTCGGAATCCCCTGTCTCGCGGCCATGGCCTACGCCATCCGGCGGGATGCCTTCGTAACAGACGACAGCGACAAAGGATTTAGGACAGAAAGCTTGGAACTGTCTTTCATTTTCGTGTCATTTGTTCTGCCAGCTGTCGGCTGTGCTGCTCTTGATGTCGTCTTCTTTCTGCTGCTCAATTCCTGCTTTCACCGCGATGGAAGCTTCCCTGCGTCTTCAGCCAGCTACCGAGTCGGCACGGCGTTTCACGTGGGGAGGTTGGTTTTCGTGGTGACGCAGGTCGCCATGGTCGGGTGGTGTTTCAGGACCAGGAGCTTTGCCAGACAGAAAGTGTACACGGCTTTGCTATTTACCGCCGTCGTCATGTCGAACTTGGCATCCTGGTTTTACGAAATCGTGGACAGGCCGTCGGTGCTGTGTACGAACAACAACACGTGCTGGGACACCGCCGCCTCGAAATCGGACACCTGTCGCGACGTTGACGCTTTCACCGTGGAATACTGTACCTACGTACAGTTTCAGCTGTACTGCCAACCGCTTGTTGGAACGTTTGCTATGCTCTCTGTCGCCACTATGTACCGCATGTGGACCATAGCACACGAGGGGCGCCCTGCACGTGCACAACAAAATGTTACGGGACGACGCCGCGCCCGCGCGGCGGCCGGCGCGTTGGCGAAGTTGTTCACAGTAACCGTAGCAGTTCTCTCCGTCACTTTTTGGGCTATCACCCATCAGGCCACCACGGTGTCGAGCTCGGCAGACTACTACAAAGTCGTCCTGTACTACTCCGTCAAGGTACTGTACTCCTCCCTGTTCACAATATCGACGATAGCGGGATGCGTCCGTACCCGAGCCGTCGGTCCCACCGCGTATCGGCCCGCGTCGCTGACATCTTGCTGCTTCTCCTAAGCGCAGCGGGACTGTTGGTGTTCCTCGGAAGAGTATTGTGGGGAGTCGGCAGCCAGGCATCGGTACCCTTTCCGTATACGCCACCGGGTTGCATGTACCACATAACAGAGGGCGACTTCGGAAAACTAAGAGCTGTCTTAATCGCAGACGTCGTGCTGACGCTGGCGCAACTTATTCTACAAACGACGTCCCTGCTTTCAGCCATAAGTCACAAGCAGTTAGAGGGCAGCGTGGAATCCCACTACGGGCTCCTCTGTCTCTTCAATTTCTGCGTTTGGATCAACGGTAGTTTCTTCGAGGTCCAGTCCACGCCGCTGGTGACGTGCTACACGACTCCCGTGCCGCGCGCGGCGTTCGGCGATTGGAACGTCTTCCTCCACCTCCTGCAGCCCGTCTGCACGTTCTACTGGCTGTGGTCGCTCCTGCTCATGATGCGGCTGCTTTTGCAGAGGGTACGCGTGAGTCCGGGCTCCGGAGGAACCACTGAGGCCGCACACGCCCGCCGCAGCCCGACTGTATCAGCAGCCGTTGAACTCTCTCCTCTGAGAGATGCCCACTTACCACACGCATCAGGACTGTCGCACGACGCTTGACGTGTGTAAATACTGCAATTGTCGTATGACACGCATGCACAGAATGTGCCTGGAGGATGGAGAAAAAAAGGCATAGGGAAAAATGTTGTGCTTCCAGTTTCAGTCCTGAAAAAAAATAAGGTCAGTAGATAGGGGATTATCTTTTTTCTCTCTTTTTTAGACTTATGTGATATCTACTTATACAATACGGTTTAACAAAGTAAACATTTATTTTCCATGTCAACGTTAGAAAACCAGTTGTACAACGTTTTATTACTCAGGTGTCAGATCATGGAGCTAGAAATGGTTGATCAGCTGGAAAAATTATTAATGTCCCTTTCAGGGGTCCTCCCCCAAAAAGCCTAGAGTCGGCAGGTTTTTCTAGTCAGTCGGGAAACAGGAAACACATTTTTTCTAGGCCTAACATTGTGTTCCATTAGGAAGATGATGCTATATCCTGGGTACTATCCTATTATATTTGTATGCCGGGGATCCCATACTTGCTCCCAATTTCTTAGGGAGCGAGATGTATACGTCTCTGTTATCCCTATTTTTTAGGGAGCAAGTATGGGACTCACTGCCCCGGCATACACATAGGATCATAGTACCCACTACCCAGGCAAAGATGATGCGACATTCATCTTGGTTATGTGTAGTGTTGACTAACCGCTTGTATTAAATCATTCATGATCACCTATTCCTAAAATTGTGGACATTTTTTTTTTAAAATTGTACAATGACCTGAAAGCATCAATGAAATGATCTCAGTGACCAAGTAAAAGATATGGAAGACAACTTTAATGGTTTTATTCATGAAGGTATACATCTAATACATGTATTGTTTATATCAAACAATTTGGTATCATGATCTAATCAATATAAATATACAGTATATTTGTTACAAGTGCAGATACATAAAGGCGAGATGGGTTATCTAAGAATAGTATATACTAGTATTTATTGTCAAAAGAACAGTTTGGCTGTGTGTATGTAATCTTTACTGCTTTACAGTGATATCCTTTTGTATCATTATCAAATCTAAATACATGATTGTATACTTAGTCTGTATATACAAACATTTGGGTTATTCCATTTTCTATCTTTTGGGGGTCGGTTAGGGCTTCAAGGTTTTTTCTGGGTATTGTATACCATGCTTTATCCATAGATGTCCTTTATCAACCAATGTTAGGCACGATTCTGGATATTCCATGCGTTTTCAGAACTCTGCCTGGAATAAATCTACACTCTTGGATACATAGACTACCCAGAACCGTGCCCGATCCTTAGCCTCTACCAGTTTTCGGGAGGTGGTTGGAAACAGTTGAAATCGGTCAACTATAGCGGACCAACTCCCATGGCATGCTATCTCTCAAGTAGGCCGATTTCTACTCTTTCCTGCCGCCTCCCGAAGCCTGGTAGAGGCTACCCGATCCTAACCCTAACCAATTTAGCCTTAGCCAAGATAGACACAGTTCTGGATATGATATTGGGTGCATCATGGAGGTATTTTTCTACCTCCATGGGTGCATGGGCTGGGCATGCCATGGCATTGAGAATTTTCTACTATTATTTACTATAACCTTCAGTATATCACATATCTTCCCATTGATTCATCAAATACTCAGCACCCCTTCATTATCTAAATGGAATAGTCCATAGTTACATCAATACTGTTCTTTCATCATTTACAATCAATACAATTATGGCCACTTCCGGTCATAATACTTCACCTTGCCTAATAATGCTTACAACAATGATAGGCTGTATGGATTGACTTATCAAGCCCTAATTGAAAAAAAGGTGTTACTTTTATTTACATCACAATCTACATAGTATTAGGAAAGAATTATAAATACTAACCCCTGTTAAGTGACTTGGCTTTTTTAAAACTTGATACTAGACGTAGACAACTTTGCATTTATCTGTTATCTTTCAATCCTGAACTTTACCTACATGTACGTAGTACCCTGATTTCATGATTTTCATGATTGTTTGATTTGTCAAAGTTCCTTGATTGTCATAAAATATCATGATGTTCAAACTGTAATACCAAATGCATTCTTCCAAGGACTTGATTCAATACAGTCATTCTGTATAATTAGAACAAATTGACTGTCAACAGCTTTTGGCTCACATTGCCAAAATAAATAACTTTCATCACATCAGGAACACATTCCCCTTCAGATTTTACAACTGGAAAGATACAAGAACTATCATACTGTATATATCAATATATAATTAACAACAAAACAGATGTTTTCCTCATCTTTGTACATTTAAGTTAGTTACAATTACTAGTACCTTATTGTGGAACTGGCCTCAGAAATGTTACAATCATTGATAATCTGTTGCTATGGCGATTTGGAGTGATTGGCTAAAAATATCATGTGACACCATGAGATTCTCTTGAGATCTAAAGTTGTTGGCTTAACAATGTTTTGTTGGCTTTGAAGTGCATTAGCTTGAAAGTGTTCTCAAAGTATACAACTTGATTGGGGTTTGTACAATTCTGTATGCAGCAATGTCTTAACCATTACTTGTAAATAGTGATATTGGCAAGTGCACAAATATAGATATCATATCATAAAATTGTATATTATAAAGACAAACACCTTACTCAATTGGAAGACTGTGCCTGATCGATAATGCATGGCACTGAGTTATACCTCCTAGCAAATCAACTCAAACTTATGTATACATAAACCTACTATCATACTGACCTATCATGTCATAAGAATTCATCATTCTAGATGACTTAGTCATGATTATTTTGTATCATAAACTACTTTAAGTTTTTCTGAATGAGATCTGAGCACCTTGATTAGAGACTGTCAGCATACAAACAATGCTGTACATGTGCGCTCAGTGCATTCCTTTTACTTTACATGTACAAAAGACTAAAGGTACAATCCTTGAGAGTCATTCTTGACTATTAGTGATAACAGTGATGTCGGGACCAGACAAGAGATGTCATTTTGAGTACTTCTTCCCATTTTTTCTGTAAACTTTCTCGTGTAAATTATCTTTTATCTAAAATCAGCCTGAGTGTGCAAGCACGTCTAACCCTCGGAAGACTGGGAACAACAGACGATAAACCGGATAGTGAGTGAATGATTGTGAGAATTCTACCTCCTTGTCCAGAAATCCCTCTATACAATGTATTATTATTCTTTATCGTACTCATAAGTCGGTTGCCCTAGCAACCTGAGTATAGTAACCAGACGTCGGCAGAACGTACTGCACCTGCGCGAAATCCTGATTTTTCACGGTTTTTGTTGGATGTTTGGTCAATGTTGCATTAGAATTTTGCCTGTGGCAGAGAATATTTTTTCGGACATAACATTTGGAATCCACAGACGGGATGTTGACCTTATATACACCAGTACGACCTTATATGAGACGTTCTGCCGAACTTCTACAATGCACAATACATTACAGGTTTTGTGCAGGTGCAGTACGTTCTGCTGACGTGCTTCAGACTACTAATCTGCTGCCACTTCATTCAGGAAAAATACATCTTTTATACATTATCATTTTCTGTACATCTTTCCTTCACAGGATGACCTGCATCACATGTACAATCATTTGTCGACAAGTTCTTCCTAAAACAAACATTAAAATCTGCGGACAACAGAATACTGACAAGAACATTTACATTCCAACTAAATCTCATTCTAAGACTATAGATACCTGAACATAATCTTTGTTACAGTTGAGATATGAGAAGTACAAAGGGTCTCTTTTGCAAAACTTTTGTTTCCTTTTGAACCTTGAAAAGAAAAATTTGTCTTCATACTTTTTATTTGCCTATCAATCAAGAGTTTGTGCTTAATAAAACCTGATTTTCTGACAACTCTCCAGTGTCACTGATGAAAGGTAGTGAATGCTAGCTGAAATGTCTGACAGTTTCCAAAACCATATCCAGTTGCTTGAGTCACTGCTTTCAGTGTATGAAGGGTCTCAGCTTGCAGATCAGATGAACCTTGGTTCAGATGATAGTCACTTGGATGTCATCTTTCAGGATCCATGTTGGCTTCTCAGAAATAGGTTCTATGGAAGAAATCATAATATCCGTTACACATGATTGTTAGTTAAATGTTATTTGCATTCAGCTCATTGCATTAGGGTTTAGAGTACATCACACTGACTGTAAAACTTGTTTGCAGGTTTGCCAGGTGTAAGAAATGTCTGCCAAAAATGGTCATCAAACAACAACAATGATGACTCAATACAGATTATCCAATGATATTAAAAGCATATATTAAGCAAGTTATTATAACATTGCAAATTCACAGACTCTGAGTCAGTCATACTAACTTAAAGACAAGTAATAGGCAAAGACTGAGTCCTAAATTGGCCCGCAAGAAGCCTTTAGCAAAGACAGTGCTGTGTAAGGGAAAGGCTGTCCAACAAGACTGGAGTACTAGTGTAGGGGTGGGAGGGGGGTTAACCAGGTATTAGAAGAGTGTCCATCAAGGAACAATGGGCCACAATGGGGATAGGCCATGAATTTCAAAGGTGTGTGAATGAGTGGTGTGTGTAAAAATGAAGATATCACTCATACATGTAAACTCAAATAGGTTTGTCGTTTTGTATTTTTTGGGGATTGACCTACCTGAGCTAATTTTCCTTACCCAATACGTAAAAATTTTGTTTCACCATCGTTTGCTGGTTAATAAATTGTTAACATTCCTCTTTCCACCCTGCATGGTTCCCCGCGGCGGCTCCATACCACCCTCTCCACCAGTGCAGCCCTCTCCCTCACACATGCAGTCCAAGTGTACACATGCTCATACTTGCATAGGAGCGGGGCTACCAGTCCAACTACTGTTAGTAGCACTAGTGGTGTTTCTATGCAAGTGTGGGACACATGTACATGAAAGATAGAGCAGCTACAGAGATGGTAAGAAAAACTCTTGATTGCTATTCAATATGTCTTGACTTTCATAAGTCAAATGAAAAAAAATCAAATGAAGGCAATGCAGTCAAAAAATTTGGTTTGAGTCAATTTTATTTATTTCAAGTTTAACATTAAATGAAGAAACTGACAATTTTCTTGTCCAGAAAGGCCTTCTTTCTTATTAAAGAAAAATAAAGTATATTCTCTTTGACCTTGAGCTTACATTCAAGTCAAGGTCACTCATTTGATCTTAGTGACCTTCAGCTTACATTGAGGTCAATGTCATTCATTGACAATGACATTTAGTAATTCAGTTTTTCCTAAATCTCTGTGAAAAGCATGCTGAACACCACACCAAGCTACACCACAAGCTTAAGCTCTAGGCACAGCAAATCATAACAGTTACAGTTACTATCCTACAGAGCAAATTCATGCCACTACAAAGCAGCACAGAAATGCAAATAATGCAGCCACTACTCAGCAACCACAAGCAAACTACAATGTATATATACCGGTAGCCTGGTGATCATCCCTATTTTCTCTCCATTTGGAATAGGACTACAGGTACAGGATAGGGGAACAACAGAGAGAAAACAGGCATGGTTACCAGCCTAGTAAAGAGCATACAGGACTGTTAGCAGGGTGCAGTGTGAGCGAGAGCAGTGTGATCTTACCCTCTTGAATGTCTCCCATGGCGAGAGTGTGGGTTAGTTTCTTCCTACAACAACAGTCACAACTTTTGAGTGCAGCAAACATAAAAGGAGTTAAAGACAGACTCACAGTGCAAAAGGGGTATACAAAGGACTATTCCATTCAAACACTGTTGGGAGGGGTGTGACGGAAGGTAAATTTTTCACCACAACCAAGGGAAGACAACTATTACAAACGTCACTCACAGAAGAAAGTGTAAAGAAAAGGGGGAACTGGAATGGTCTACAGAGGATTGGGGAAGAAAATAGCTGTAAGATACTGGAATGAACAATTTCCTTCCTGCACCCCCTTCAAGTGTTCTAATGGAAGAGCCCAGGGTATACTACTACAAACTACTGCATGAGCATGTGTACACAACATGACAAAACTGTGACATCACCGTGGTTACAGGTTAGTGATTTAGTAAACAAAGAAGTTCAACATAAAGTATGTTGTGCAGTTGGTGAATGATGTTATGTTAGTATTGTCCATGTTGAAACAAGGGTAATGTGACAGCAAATAAAAGACAATGGAGGCTCCACCCACGAGGTGGTGCCAAAAAAAGTACACTACGATTAACACCACTTACACTTCATCTTCGTATGCTTTAGGTGGGGCAACAGCGATCACAAGGGTCAGGGAATCCTAAAAACAATAAGAAAGTAAATACAGTACTCATCATTAATTTTGTTTTTAAACAACATGAAAAATTTTTTAACATATTAAATAAAATCATTAATATCAGTTGCCATCAAGTGATTAAGCTTATCTGTGCAGCACTCAAAGTCTTTGCTGACTTGCACATCAGAATTTTTTATGTACTTACATGTATCTACTACTTCTATAGCACAATAACACAGTCATGCAGTAACTGTTTCACATTTGAAAGGGCTTTGAGTTGCACATCATGATATGCAGGTGGCCACAATATCTAAATCTACAGTTGCAGATCAAGACATACACACACAAGTTGTGCATCGGGATATATGGAGTTGCACAATCAGGATTATGTACTAAGTCTTGCACATCAGAAATTTAAGTTGTACATCAGGCATTGGAGTTGCACATATGGTATATGGATATGGTATTGCACAGGATTACAGTCTTGTACATCATGAATTTCAGCAATGCACATCAGCAAAATGGAGTTAATGTTGCACAATCAGGATTAAGCAGTTGCACATAAAGGGTGATTGTACAGATTGCACAATCAGATTCAATGATGCAAATCATAAATTACAGTTGCACATCAGGAAATGCAGCAGTAGTGTCTTACCCCTGTAGCCTTCATCTCCTCCCGGAGGATCTCCTGTGCCCGGGCCAGCCTGATGTCCAGCATGGTGCGGCCGTTACAGTTCATAATCTGGTCTCCCTTGTACAGGCCACCTGGAACAGCACAAACATCACTGTTAGGATCACAAGGTTAGGGGTTCGAATCCCAGGTTTGTTAGACTGATGTCCAGCATGGTGTGGCATTAGTTCATGACAGGCCACCTAAAAAATCATGGGTATTACTAATAGGTAAGGGCTGGAAAACCCCAGGCTAACTGTACAGTAACTGTTATGTACATGAGCCTATGCAGTACATGTCATGTAATATTTTTAATGCCTGTCAATGGTATAAGTTTGGAGCTAAGGGTAAAGCCAAAAGGTAGATTTACCAATCCAGAAATAGAATCCCTGCATTCTACAAATGTATCTGGATCCCAATCTTTCCCAACACAAAATCAAAAACCAAAAAATGCAACCTCCTAAGAAAAGCTAAAAGCAACAGGTGGGAAATAAAGCCGACTGCTACCCATACACACCAGGGAGTCCCTGCCCCCAAGCAGTATACTGTAAAATTTCACTTTACAGTATATTCCTGGTAGAAAAATTTCACGGTCTGAGAAAAATGGACATGTTCGCAGAACTATATGTTCGCGGTGGCCGCAAGTTCAGAAGAAAGAAAGTCAGTAAATAATTTGTTTGCAGTAATGATAAATTTGCAGTATACACTGATTCTTAGCCCCCAAAACTGGGAACATAATTTAAAAGTGATTTACAGTAATGAAAACTGGAAGCTACAATGTAGTAGGACACAGTGAACTGCTCCTCACCATGTGTGTGTGCCAGACCTCCCTCCCACACCTCCGTCACAATCACCTTCCCTCCCAGCACGGAGTCAATCCCTCCTTCAACTGTCACTCCCAGATCTGTGTCCTGGAAACAGAAAAAATCACAGTCAATGTCTTATAGGGCTGCCACATATTTCATCACTACCGGTAATCTTTATGTTTACTGAAAGAAAACATCTGGTTTTTGCTCTGTTTCTTCCTCTTCTTCTTCAATCTCCAAACAGTGACCTCTGACCTGACCAATGACATGATTTGTTGATGTCTGTCACCATGGTGACTGGTGTTGGGTTACATAATGTTGCAATTTCATGGTCTGCTCTGCTCCTGTCACCATATACTTGTAGTGCATGTATGTGAATGTGTTTGAGTAAGAATTAACAGAGCAGACCATGTCTGAAGGTAAACATCATTAGCTTTGCAAATGTTACTTCAATCTCTAGTTATATATTGTAAAACATTTAATTTAAAATGATATATATATATGTCATGCATGTGTTCCTCACCTTCTCTTTTTTGATCTTGATCATCCGTATCTCTCTGCCTGCTATCTGAGGCTTGGTGAACTGCATGTGAACATTGTAGAGTGTCAGGATTGAATAGGTTTATTTATGGCCCATTTTACAGCTTTCATCATACAGTAAGTGACTTACTGGTCATACCAAGAAGACTGATCAATTATTAGATATCATAGAATGGAACAATCACATATAATTTCCAAATGAAAGTTAATCAACGGTGTTGGTTACATACACTTAATAATTATGTATGAAACACACTAGTAAGCATTTAACAGATTCTGAACTTATTCTACTCTTACTAAGTCTTAATACATTGTAGATACACCAACTCCAACAGTAACTTGATAATGTATAAGATTGATGAACTAACCAGACTGGCAGGGTCGAACTTCTCTGGCGACAGTTTGTCCTGACCAATCCTGGAGGGCGTTCTTCTTACCTAGAGACACACGGAATGCTCACAACTTTTTAAGACATGACATACATTGAAAAGACAATGAGACACCAGCATTATTATGTTTCCCATAATATGAAAATTTTAAACTGAAACTAATAGCATGAAACGTATACATCTCTGTGATTTGACTGTCAGTGAGTTCAAGCTAAAATCTACAAAATGAGGCAGAAGACAGTACAGTTGACAGTGCAAGAAGACAGAAAACTTAGTTGTACAACTTATCTTTCACAGAACGATCTTACATTTAAGTACTGAAGTTTCGTTGGAGACAGAATAGAAAAAGGTACATGATCAACAATTTTTATGTTACATGCTATGGACGAATGAAAACCTCGTAATAGTTTAAGTCACTCAGAAATTAAAGCAGATACTGAATGATAATGTGGCTTTAGATTATGTATTCTTAAAACTAGACATAAAAACTGTCAAGGTTTTTTTAATTGACAGAAAAGAGGCAGATTGTTTTGTGTCATACTAGACTAAAATTTGCTTTATTCAAATACAATCATTAAAAATCTGGTGACACACTAAAAATCTCTTCATTTGTTTACATATTATGTGCACATCTTTGGCAGAAAATCCAGATTTTACACCTTTTATTGTATATACTACAATGTAATTTCATTTATTAAACGTTTATACAATGTCTCAGGGTTAAAATAAACTTTTCTCAACTTTTCCAGAAAAAAATGAAAATGGAGTCCGACATAATATCTTTGAATCACAAAACTTAAGATTACTGCATGCATCAATATTATTGTCAAACAATGTCAAAATTCTGCATATTATAAATAGGATCCATCATGGCTTTTCCTTGTCCACTTATTTGTTATTACTTAAAATTAATAAACAATATTTTACAAGTGGCTGTATTCCACTGCTGCAGTTACTTCAGAATCTGTCATCACAATACAAACACAGCAAATCAAAACTCCCCCCATCTCTTGTGGCACAAGTTAATGGCACACTAGCCTAGGGTAAAATCTAAAAAATTAAAAAATGGCAACTTCTCTGCATACTGCACTATGGGCACTACCATCTTTTATGATACTAAGACCAACTTTAATACATGGACATCCCATTGACATGGCAGTATCATAATTCATTCCTAGTCATTGACTACAATACAGTCATACATTTGATATTAGCAGCTGCAATAATTATAGTTTTCCATAATAATTTTACAATATGATAATATTTTGTAATGTAAATTGTGATATACTGCAGTGATGTACCAGTAAAGAGTAATAAATAAATTATAACTAGTATGCTTTTTAGTTAGTCTTCATGTTGCAGCTGGACTAAAAATGAACTCTTTTTTTTAAAGTACACTTCTCAAGAGTTAAATCGTGAACTTCAAGATATGTATACTTAGTACAATGTAGCTGCTTTCTATGGCCACCACCATCATACACCACACACCAAAATTGTCCTGACTTTAAAAAACATGGCATATCTGACTGCATGACAGCATCAGTCTGCAATATCTACAAAAGCCACCAGTCACCTTAATATGTAAATTACACCCTGTCGTTACCAATTAGCATAATTTATGCATGCCAATCGACAGTACTTAACTTCTGCTGGCCTGGAGGGGGGGTGAACTTATTAAAGGGAGGCTAGAGTCGAGTCACTCCCTCTCCTAGCACGTAAGCCTCACCCTGAAAACAGGTCACAAGTTGGACTGCAATTCTTTCAAATCTCTCTGGATGCTTAGAACATTTTTAAACAACAAAAGAATAAAAAAAGGTTGCAAATGAGTGTGGAATGTGTTGGGTTGTTATTGGTTTGAAAGCCGTGGGGAAAAGGCTGTGAGTTATTTTTTCTTTGAATGGTATGGTTAGAGCTGGGTTAATTTTAACAGAAAACTTATAGATGTGATGGCTCAGGGGGTTAATGGTTAGCTTTTGCAGGACTGCCAGAAATTGTCAACAATATTACAGGGGGGCCTGCATGGGGGGTCCCGACAACGCTCTCGATTACGTTTTACTGTAAATTCCAAGTGGCTACAACGCATTACATAGAATTAAAACTGCGAATACGCTCTACGCAAAATGTGTCAATTACGCTCTACGTTGAATTAGAGCGGTGTGTCTACGCTCGATGTAAAATTAAAACGGCGGATTACGCTCTACGCAAAAGGGCATGCATGCGGGCCCCCTTACAGGTATGAGGGAAGTACAGATATCTGAAATAATGTCGACCATGATAATCATATTTCTTCTTTTTGAAATTCATAGTGTTGACAAAACTTGTTGGAAATACAAGGCTCTCCTTTGAAACAAAAGAGAGATTCAGAAGTATATAGATTTGAAATAAAGTTTAAAAAAATAAAAGAGATACTGACAATACAGGGCAGCCAGTGAAGACATGGAGTGTAGGCACAAGGAAAGGTTGAAGCAAATAAAAAGATGACAAGAAAGAGATAAAGTTAGAGATGTTAGACAAGACACAAGAGTTTGGGACACATCCCAGCCACCTCTTTGTGCAGTACAACTGCTCCACCTAGCAGGAGAGCTCTGCAGTGCAGTTTATATTTCTTGCCAATAGGTATTCTTGGTGTTTTTGAACACATTTCCTAGCCTGGGTGCCATTTTTCCGCAATCAAGGCAGAAATATTTAGTAAGCAGAGGTGACTAGTATGCGACGGCACTTAGAGTTTACAGTCATGTAGTCTTGAATACAAGTAATACTGGTAAATCTGCTTAATAATATAAAAACTACAAATGAAAATGAATACCAGACTGAGTTATATTTTCAAACATAGGATCACATCATCCACATTCTAGTAGTAAGTAAACGCTCGCCTCGCGCCTACGGCGCTCGAGGTCCCCTCTAGCAGTGGGAAGAACCCCCCCATTCAAAATCCTGGCTACGGGCATGTAAAGATATCAATGATCACATCAAATTGTATGAAAATACTTCCTTTCATGCACAAGACCATACAAACTTGTTATATCAATGACATTCCAGTGCATAATTGGTATAATTCCCCCAAAAGAAACCTTGCTCTTTCTGACAGGTATAAGCAACAATACCTGTCAATGCTCTTGAGTAACACTGCCAGACATTGAGATTATCATGATCATATCACTTTCAGCCCATAGAAGAAAAATGGGACATTAAAGATGTGAAACTGTTTGAAATGAGGTCATTTTTTACTCTTTGCATCAATCAAGTTTAGAGTCTCAAGTCAAGAGGAAAGAATTAGGCCCCATTCCACTTCTTGCGGAGCATTTAGGGGTGGTGCCCATGGCCATCTCCCTTTCTGTAGCCCTTGGGCCACACAGTTCTGCAAGCACTACAGCAGGGGGGTAGTCCGCTGGTAGTGTTGTGAATTTGACCTAGACCAATATACACTTTCTCATAAATGCTGAGTGCTGAGCAGAGAAAGCAGTATGTATACCATTCTTAAAAGCTAATTAAAAGTCTTTGGTATGACTCGGACGAGGTTTGAACTCACGACCTCCCGCTTACAAAGTGAGCACCCTCAAAAGATTAAGTCAGCAATACAATCAAATTTGTATGGCTCAACTAACACCATTCACTATGACCAAAAGGGTTATAGTGAATGGTGGTAGTGAGCCTTGTTCACAGAATGGACCTGCCTACTGCAGCTTCCGGGACGGGACGTCGGAATTATGTGTCTTTATTACAGCAAAGCGTGAACAAGGTTGATGGAATTGGTAAAAAATCTGGGTAAGTCCCAATTTACTTGTTACTTGTGTTGGCTAGAAAGTTTAGCCCTTTTGGTCATAATGAAGTATACCAACACAGATGAACTTTCATGCTACCACCATTCACACATGCACACAGTTCCTAACTTACCCCCTGTGCAGCACTGGGACTCATGTAAGTTTTGGGAGGACTGGGGATGAGGTTAGGTTTCCTCAGGTCCTTCTCTGCCTCCTGACTCAGCCACTGTTGTTCCCGCTGGATCTCCCGCTCTGACTCCTTAGCTTCCTGCTGAAGACGGTGGATCCTCATACGCTCCTCCTTCTCCTACAGAAGGTATCATTATCATTATCATTTTTGGCCTTTCAATAGACCTGTTTACCTTTCAGAGATTGAAAGAACTGCTTATGTCACAGGGGGACATTTTGAATAGAATGCCGTTCTAGAACCCGGAAGTTGAACACGGCTTTCGCTTGCGGTGTCCCCCCTGGCAGATCACTGCATTCTGTTCTCAGATACCAGAATCGGCTATCTGGTGAGATTGGGTGGAAAAGAAACAGGGGACAGCCATCATTCAATGAAGTATCAATAATCTTTAGACTCCTTGTACTGGAGCAGGTCTGGAAACTTTCAGAAATCATTAAATCAGTAAGGGGGACAACGCAATTGAAAGCGAGTTCTATAATTATAGAATGGTGTTGTATCAAAAATTTCCACCCTGTGATGTAAGCAGTTCGTGCGATCAGTGAAAGGTAAACAGGTCTATTCAAATATTAAGTGTTCTAGCCAGCCTGGATTTTTTCTTTTCTGTCATCCCATTTTGTTTGACATACATGTAATATCATGTTGAGGGTGGAAGGTGCATGCTCCCCCAGGAAAAATTTGAAATCTTGACCCTCTGAAATGCTATTTCCTGCATTTCGAGATGCAAATTTTGATTGTAGAGTAAAAGCTTACCGGTATCTCTTTTTATTAGTGAAAAATTATACAAAGGTTTCAGCTTGATTTTTTGGGGGGTCTGTGTCTGCCAAAGATGACAGAATGGGCAAAATTTTTGTCCATCATTTGACAATTCGTCAATGAAAATAAAAATTGCAGCTGGCTAGAACACTACCAGTAATTCAAAGAGTCTGACACATTTACGTGAAATGCACAAAGTCATCAAGAGAAAACTGTACAGAGTTTGTGTCTCTTATTGAATCATGGGTGGAAAAGTCTTTTGGCAAAAGAATGACTTAATCCAATTTTTTTCATCATTGTCAACTGAGTCTAATTTAGGTCAGCACACATCAGCAACAAATTGACAGATCTTTATCATTTTGCAAAACAAGAGTTAGTCTAACAATGTAACTGGTATCTGAAATTCCATATTAATCGGACCAGGCTAATTTCAAGCATTTTACTAATTCTCATTTTTATGTATTCTATAACGGAGTATCAGACTATATTTCAATGTATTCTATCAAAAATCTTCAATTTTCATCGCAATAACACAATCACACAAAACACACGATAAGGCCCCATTTCTAATTGGGATAAAATTGTCCGGATCGAGCCGAATCAAAGCGAATCAATTCGGCTTCATTTGGACAATTTTACATTTTTAGTATGTAAGTAACTGAGAGAGAGAGAGAGATTTACATAATTAGATGCAAATTATGCAAATGAAGTCTTCATAGAAATTCCTTCTTAATTATGCAAATTAAGTCTTCATTTGCATAATTTGAATCTAATTATGTACATCTCTCTCTCTCAGTTACCTACATACTAAAAAAGTGGGAATGGGGCCTAAAATTCTTATCAAATTATCATCAATGACAGTTGTCAATCAAACTGAGTAAAAGCAGACAGAAGGACAGAGCCAGTAGATACAGAAGAGGCAAACCCCGTGCAGGCTAGGCCGGGTGGAATACCTGCTGCAGGCGATTCTGCTCCTCCAGTTTTTGTTGGAGTTCGAGCTCCTTCCTGCGCTTCTTGTCGTGCTCCGAGAGCTGGTCCTACGAGCGACAGACGTGCAGCGTAACAGCGTACCGTAACATGCAGAGAGTCACAAGCAAGCCATGCCACCCTATTGCTACTCTTAAAACATGGTTTGTACATACATGACTGTACAACTGACAGATGAATGTTTGGGAAAGTTATCTTTGTTTGTGCATTTAGGCTCTCTTGGAAAGCAGCTAGTAGTACTAGCTTGACTGAAGGGACTACATCATGCATTGTTTTCAAGATCAGTCCAAACAAATTTAGGAGACAAATACTTACAAACCACCTAAGTCTACAGATTTTGTTAATAGCTCCAAAAATACATTACATTATTTTTTTGTGTAGAAATACGTGTCACACTCAGTCTAGTGAATGACATGTTCACAATATAGTAACAGTTACAGTAAACTGTTACAGTAAGTTAGTAACAGAATTAGTTTCCTTGATTTTAAGACATTCTAACAATCCAAGATGTGTACAAACCATGTCTACCAGGCTTACAAATGTATGCACACTACTCCTACAAAATACAATATTGTAAGCATTCTACATGTAGCTTCCCTACAGGCAAAACCTACATGTAGGGCAAGGTGGCTCACAGTGTTAAGCAGAAGACATGCAGACTGATTAAACTGATTTCTCATGATTCTGAATGATTGGTTACAAACTCACATGCTGGAGTAACAAACAATGCAGTTTGACATGCTGCTATAGAGAGTGTTAGTCATGTCCATTGAGCTGAATTCAGTTTGATGAAAACTAGTATTAGGGAGATGGTGAAATAGTGATGGCAAAGAGAGTTGACATTTTACAATTTTTCTTGCATTTTTAGCCCTCCCCAAAAATCCTCACCAGCCTATATAGGCCAATTAATAACATGCTATGTTTGTCAGCTAAAGCCCCTGCCACACATAGCTGAATACGGCGTCCAGTGTTCTGGGCATGTTCAGGGGTAAAATCTGACTCAAATTTAACTCAAATTTGACTGGATTGGTATAGAAAGTCAGACATGGGCTAAATCTGGTCAGACTGCTCCCAAACTTCAGCCAACTGGTGCTCAGGGGAAGGCACTGAATGTGTGACAGGGGCTTAATGCTTCGGAAAAAGTAACTGTCCTTGGTGCTGAAATGCATATCATTTCCTTGTGATGATGTTTTCATTGATGAAAGCCAATTTGGACAACTAGTCAGAGACTAAGGGAAAGGTGCTAATTGATAGTGACGAGGTGTTGAGGTGTGGAATGGTTGGAAAGTTAGGAACATTGTGAAAAGGGAACTAAGGTGATATGGAAATGGTGAATGTATGGCAATAAGCAGATTCTGACATTTTTAGCATGGTGACTTATGGAAAGTCACTTTGTTTCACAATAAAGTAAAAATATGTTCAACTAAATCCATGTCTTTTATCCAGCAAAAAAACAAATGAATACCTAAAATACTTGGGGCAATATACACATAACACTGGGAGAAACAACAGTACTGTGTCTAATAATTAATTAACACCCTACAAAATTATGATAAGGTAAATGTTTTCTTCCACATGGTGGCACAAGTTGTTATCATGCTGCAAGGAGTAGCAAACTTAAGACCAACTTTTAAAGATGATTTAATACTCTGATTAAACTACTGCTTGTCCAAAATTAAATTATAACCACTTTTTGGGTGGTCTCTTGGATAATCTTTACCATTGACAAGTATTGAAAATCCTGACTAGTATAAGATCTTCATTAGGCAGTATCTATGGGAAGTTGTGATGAGTTCCAGGTCTTACCAGTTGCAGCTGTGTCTGTTTCTCCTTCCTCTCACTCTCCCTACGCTGGGCCTGGGTCCTGCTCTCCATGCTCCGCTTACGACTCTCTTCTGACAGAAGGTATCATGAACAAATTGTCAGGAAGAACATAGAAGTAACTAGAAGGTAACATTTGCAAAGCAAAATAAATGTTTACCTTGCTCGCATATAGACTGTTAATTCTTACTCAAACACATTTTCATATATGGAGTCCAATCCCTCCTGCTATAAAATTGCAACATGAAGTAACACAACACTAGTTAACATGGCAACAGACATCTGGTTCAGGTCATTGACCTCATTTGTTTGAAGAAGAAGAGGAAAAAGAAACAGAGCAAAAACAATATGTTTTCCTTCTGTGAAGGTACACGTAATAACTTAATCAATTGATTGGCTTGCAGTCATGAAACATACTCTTAAGACTAGTAAACACAATTTTAATTATTATACAGTTTTGTGAAGCTTTTAGACTTGTTGATTCTTGAATAAAAAAATAGAAATGCCAGAAACCAGTACAAAAAATCCTGTTAAAAAGGAGAAGGAATCATCAATAACCAAACTGTGACTCAAGTAATTTATTGCAGAGACAAAGCTCCAACATACAGAATGCTACATGTATAAGGTATATTCCATACCACCCTCAGTCTCAGCCCTCCAGCAGGATGGATCGCCCCTAATCTGGCACAACTATTTATGCCATCCCACCATTAGAAAACACAGGTGTTGATGCAAAATATGCCACAAACACACACACACAAACACACAAACTAAAATTTGTATTACCCATACCTTGTTTTTTCTCGTCGTCTATTTTCTGCTGGGTGAGGCTGAGGTTGAGCAGCTCCTGCTCCAACTGTCGACTGATCTCTTCATCATCCTCTTCAGCTGTTCAACAAAGCAAGGTACAAACAACCATGATCACACTAAGGCAACAATCCCACTTTTAGGATAAAATTGGCCAGATCAAAACGAATTGATTCGGTTTGATCTGGCTTCCATCCAGCTTGAAGAAGGATCAAACCAATTTGAAATGATAGTGATCTACGACAGGTTACAACGAATAGACAATTCTCATGGCCATAGCACCCAACTTGCGACAGGAGGTGGCTTAAGACTGCCTAAACCGAAGACAACCGCAATGGAAAGAACATTCGTTTACAGAAGTATAAAATCTCACAACAACCTTACACCACACGCCAGGTCAGCCACACCAACACTATTCAAGAACATCATAAACGACATGATAACTCACAAGACTGATACATACAAACCCTTAAAGCACCGGTGGTAAGGTACTTCACAAGCAAGAAGCTATATATTATCATTGTATGCGACCTCTGACCTCCCAAAAGCGATCTAGTAATGTCATGCTGCCTTGTAGTAGATTATTGCTTTGTAATTTTATGCTAGTTGCGGTGTAATGGATGCAAGTGTTATGTTATGTTATGTGCCTTAATTTGCATTACATTTGTGTACTGTTTTGTGAATCCAGGAAAAATAGATTAGATTTGTTATCTAATCTAATGGATATCTAATAAAACATCAAACATCATCAAATCAATTCGGCGCAATCCTGACAATTTAATCCTAGAGGGAATGGGGCCAAAATGTACTTTCAAATGAAACAATACATTCTGTTGATAAACATTATGGATTCTGACACAATGTTTTCCCTTAGAAATATTTGTCTTAAAATCATTATCATGTTTAACTTACCTCTGATCAACTGTAAGTAGCTCTTAGTTATCCTCCAGCTATGACCACATGATCATTTCAACCAACAAATCAAATTGGTGTGGCCTAATGCATGGCATGTAGCATCATCAAAGTGCTGTGAAGATTAGAAGACTTACATTTCCTTTTCTGCAATTTGTTTTGTTGTTCTTCTTCCTGCTTTTTCTTCTCTTCAGCCTCTCTATAAACATCAGATGAGGACAATATAGTCATTATCCCATGCCAACCAAAGGAAAAAAATGTGTTGCGTATGGTTACATTAAGAAAGAGAAACCTCCTTGGTCGTATTGAGCAATTTTCTTCTTTAACACAAAGTCTTAAATAATCTTACTGATATTAACACAAAAATGTATTGGTTGGAATGAAATTTTTAGTCTACTAAGTGTTTGATGCTTTCCTTCCTTAGTCATTCTGTTTTCTATTTTCTGTGTAAACGATCAACTCTTGCTGTCCACTTTATTTTACCATAATCCTGGAATGAACAGTCCCTCTCCAACAGGTTTTGCCTTATTAATTTGTCTGTAGTTAATACCGTTTAAAATTTATGAAGAAGACTACATTCTAACCAATAAAGTTTTTGATTACAAAAAATCTTTGGTATGAAGAATACATGCATTGCCTGCCATTAGTCGTTAGGTTACATATCTACATGTAAGACCTACATTAAATATTACACACTACCATTTGGTATGTCTATACATGCAACAGAAATTTGAATTTATGGCTCTTTCAAGACTGAAACATGCTCTGACTTATGTAAATTATTCACTCTCACTCTACATCAGTGCACCAAAGCAGGCAGTATACCTCATGCTTTTAGTTTTACAAAGACTGATTCAGAAACAGATTTAGACCAGGGAAAAAAAGAAAGTTTAACAATTATGTTTTCACCAAGCTGATACCTGAGTCTTTGTAACTCTTCCTGCCTTTGTTTGAGTTTGGCCAGGGCAGATTGGTGAATCCTCCAGAGTAGCAGCACATCAAAACATAAGCATTAGTCACCAAAAGTAAAATTAAAAAAAAAAAAAAAAAAAAAAAAACATGCTGCAGGTACATTGCCAGGCTGCATAGAGAAGTTTTCAGAAAGAAAGTTCTTCCAAAAGACATTTCCAGATACATAATAGAAAACTGTTTGAAAGTATAGGATTTGTAAAATAGAAGTTGAGTTAATGCTAGAGTTGTGTGGCAAGTACAATGGGACAGTGAAGATTTTTTAAAGGTTTTTGAGTGCCAGGTGCTCTAAGAAGTAATCCATCCTTGCTAGGATCTTGTAGTCATGCAAGTACAGTGTTTGTTTAATTTTTTTTTCTCAGTTTTTGAAATAACCATGCAATACATGGTCACAGAGGCATCACCAATTGGGCACTACATAATAATTATTATTTTATAATATTAAAGAGGACAAAAAAGGCTATTCTCTTAAACCAATTAAGTCTGAAATTATAGGAAAATTGGTAATAAGCTGTCCCTGTGGGGTGTCTACATCAAGGCCTTCAGACAGTTTTTGTGTGTGTGGATGGTGTTCAGCACCAAGGACAGGTGTGTACGTACATATTTTGTTTTTTTTTATTTACATGCAAATGTTTGAATGTCCAGATTCATGTACATGTAGGTTTGCACTACAGTTTTGTATTTTTTGTATCATGTTACAAAACTATGTTGAAAATTAGGATGATATTTGACAGTTAAATACTGTCTAAGGGGGTCAACGTATGGTTTGTATACAGAGACACACATTCAAGTTTCAATCAACTAAATGTAGGAGCTAATATATAGTACATGTGTATGTGTCACCATGCAGACCCATGCACAAATTTAACATTCAATACTCACGTCCATAATGTCACATTGAGGCAAACAGAGACAGTCACAATTAAAACAAAAACCTAGACTAAGTACAAGTAAACTACATTCCAACACTACAAATAAGATAGACAAAGTCATGTTACAATGTCATGAAGACAGAAGACATGGTAACTGACTAACATAATTGTGAAGTGTGAGTGGTACACAATACAAGGTACACGAAACTTAACATAAAATTGGAACTACATGTAACTCTAACTGTTATTATACAATATTTTTGACCAAACCAATTTTTTCTTAGATTCTAGGATTACTTTGAGTCTATAGACTATATTATATATAATAATGCTGAGATTTTTTAAAATCTTGCTCTTTTGCTCAATTTGAATAAAAAAACCTAGAAAACAAGTTGATGAGGTCTCAGATACAAGTCACCTCTAACATATTATTGAAACAGTACTATCATTATTATAGAACGATAAAAATATGTAATACATATACTATGATAAATGAACAATTACAGTAAGTTGCAGTTTTTCTTGTGTTTCATGTCAAACCATTTGCAGGTTTAAACTAAGACAATTTTAGATACAACCAAACTGAAATTTTTCACAACAATCCTACCTTTCCTCTGTTTCTTTCTTCTGTCGTTTTTTCTCCCTGTCGATGGCGATCTGTCGGAGCCTCTCCAGCTCCTGTCTCTCTGCCGCCTTCTCCTCCGAGTCCTGAGGTTCAGGAGGATCTTGGTCCAGGTGGATACTCTTCTTAGGGAAAATGGCATCTTTGAACAGCTCCTCACCCTAGAGAATCATAGTTGACATTCATTTTAGACTTCCAAAATATTGTATTTACTTATTTGCATATCAATCAATAGTGCTTGTAAACCTGCATTTCTCCCCTGGTCTCTCAGTCACTGACGAAAGGTAGACTAAGTGGATACTAGCTGAAACGTCTGACCGTTTCCAAAATCATATCCAGTTGCTTGTCGAGTAACTGCTTTTTGGCGCATAGTTGACATTTCTTTGTAAGAGTACTTTGAACAATTTGCCTCTGAGGAACTCAGCAATATTGCTTTTAAATTAGAGGTACACTGTAGATACATTGTAACTTGATGTGAGGTTGATTTGGCCACACAAAAATATCTGTAAAGAAATGCATATTATATGTCATGACAAGCTGAAATAAATTACAGTAACTGTTACTGTTCCTTATACGTGTACATGTACTTTTACATACAAGAACTATTGCAGAGTGGAACTCGCTGTCACCAAGTAGGGGTTATATCATAATATATCATTAAGATATACATGTAGCTTTAAACAATTTTTAGAGTTATACAAAGTCATGTATGTTCAAGGGTAGGTACATGTAACGTGTAACAAGTAGTTTTTACCGGCAATTATACCGCCTATACATGCATGCAGATACATGTACATCATACTTTGAAACAGCTACCATTGCCATTTGTCTTTAGTTATTAGCATAATTCTTTACACTGTCAGGTAGGGGTAGGAAACAAGCAATTGGGTAAACCTTTCTGTAGCCTTGATCATTAGAACAAATTATGCCCAATAGCAAAAAACAACTGTTACAATTTTAGCTTGAGTACTAACCTCTTGTGGTCTCACTGTTATTGTTAGTTGTTTGCTGCCCTTTAGAGCGGAGATAGCCTAGAACGTATGGGGAAACAATGATTAAATTACACAATGTCATCTGCATTCAATAAACATCATTCTCAAGTCTCTTTTATGTACAAATGGAAGCTGAAGCCTTTTCCCTTGAAATACTTGTACTTCATTCATGACTTTACCAGTCCTATACAATGTACATGTAGTACACTGTTTACAATGCCATTTCACACAATTATCACCTCTTGAACAAATGGTACAAACCTTAAACACAACATCAGCCCCCAAATCATGTTATGTTATGTTATGTTACACACCAAATTTTTTCTCGGCAAATAAAAATTGTTCTAAGCATCATTTCTCATGGAATCCCAATGTTGTCATTTCTGAGCCATTATTGAGCATTACTACAATGTATATCAGAAAGTAAGATAAATTTGCTGAAACCCATGCAATGTAGAATGTCAGCAACCTTCCACCATTCCTATTCAACCTTCCGACCAACCAACCAAAGATTTAACAGCTGTATGTATGATAGACCTGAATGTCTGAATTCCTTTTGCAGTGTCTTGTGAGGGAACATGTCCTACATGTACAACACACACAGAAAATAGGTATAATAGTAATGAAGACAATATATATACATGTAATAATAAGCAATCGTCATAATAAATAAACAAGTATTAAAATTTGTCTGATGCACTCAATGAGTAATGAATGTATATTACTACTTAAAACTAATTTTTTAAAAGGTTTATGATATTGTACTTTGGAACATTTTTGCAAAAGTGACATATGACGACTGTATGTAAATTCTTGGATATCTCACCTCGCCATAGTCTGCATGTGTCAAATTTATACCGTTCACATCTAGGAACTGGTCTCCAAGCTGTATGGGGAATTTGACATTCATAAAGGTTCAAAATTATGGTACATTGAACTATTTGACAGAAAATATTTGACAGAAATATTTGACATACATATGTAATCCATTCAATGCACATTATTTTCTTTTGTAACTTCAAACCATAGCCTGTACTGTCTGGCTATGGTACTGTACATCAAATTTATTTTCAACTATAAAAAAACTTAAGGTTCTGCTGGAATGACAAGAAAAAAACTGCACACCTTCAGACCGATCTCCTCTGCTATGGACCCTGGTTTCACATTCTTGACAAACACACCAGGCTTGTAGGCTGGTCCACCACATATACTGTATGGCAAAAATAGTAGACACTCAGGTTTCTGATCTAATGCTCTACAGGAAATTGTAATAATTATTATTTTATTGAGACAGAGTCATGCATGTCTGTGTTACTGAGTCCTATTTGTATTTTTCTGCCAAGCAGATTTCCTATAACGGATTAATATGTATCATTCACACAGCCACATTGATTTCATCATCATTCATCATCATCATCAAAATCATAATCATCATCACATTGTGGTAAATCACTGCCTTTAATTTATGTTTCTCCCTTTTTGCCTGGAAATCCTAGTTACTAGTAGTTGAATTCTGCTAGGACAGTGGTGTTACTCATGATCACCAAGCAGAGGCTGGTTTAGGCTCTGGGCTGGGCTTATTTTTGATGTGTGAAGTCTGTCTTTTTGTCCTTTTTGTCTGGTATCTTTTCTAATGCTGGCCAAAAAGTAACTGTCTTGCAAATTGATACTGTCTGGCCAATTTGACTCTTTTTTTTGCAGCCACCAAAAGATCTGCTTGGAGATTAAATGATGTAGTTGTACTACCATAATCATACATGTACATAATATTATGGTACTCTGGCCTACCTACCTACTGCCTGCCTACATGTACATTGTACATGTATGTGCTCAAGCCAGGTACTCTGCCCCCCCCCCCCTAAAAAAAATTTCAAACCAATCAACAGGTGGGGAATACCTGAATTAAATGCTTGCACGAAAAGCTAGGAGAAGAGAATGCATTGTAGTGTCTATGACAGTAGTGACTAAGTCCAGCTGACCTGCATCCCAGTCCAGGTGTCCCCTCCAGGTTCACAAACACCCTCCTGTCTTCTCTCCCCATCTTGGGGGACGGAGCTCCATTGGACATGTTGTTGATCACTTCTCCCTACATAAACAAGTAAATAAACAAAAAATGTGAGACGTCGTTTAAGGTTAGAGGTAATAAGATACGCAAAAAAGCAGTTATTCAAGCAACTGGATATGATTTTGGAAAATCTAAAATCATATCCAGTTGCTTGTCAGAGTAACTGTTTTTAAATTTTTGGTGTAAAAATGTGAGACATTGGCACATTTACTGTAAAGATGATAGGATATTATGTAAAACGTAATAGTATATAGATCATGATATTATGTAAATTTTATGCTTAAGATTTATTTCATGTTCAATAATCAAATCTATCTTGAAAAATTGGCAACTTTTGACTATTGTCATCATCATGCAAACAAATGTATAATTATATGTAATTTCCAGATTTTATTGTTGGGTATAATCATTGATTCAGAAATTTTTCTGAAAACCTGGATAATTTCCATTGGATTACACTGTCATTTGACAATTTGCTTCAAATTTCTTTCATTAAATTTATAAAGCAACTAGAAACAGATTGTTTCTTCATTTAGTAGCCTGATTCTTTTCTTTACTTCACTATAAAATTGAAGGTAGCTTGGATGCCATCCTGGTTAGCTTTAACTCCACTCCACAAGTCCCCGTGACAGTGACAGTTGGAGCAAATTCAAACCTAACCAGGACGTGGCTCAAGCTTTGTTTGAATACTCAACAGAGCTGGTAGGATCGGTCAGAGGTCCGGCGGTGTGAGTGTGGTCAGTAGTGGTCAGCCCGGTGTCAACCGGCTCACTAGTCTACAGGATGGACAGATGGAATGACTAACAGGTCTGAACACAGATGACAGCTTTCACCATCATTTGTTCATTCATTTATTCATCCATTCCTTTTTTCATTCATTCATTCATTCATTTATCCATTTGTTCCTTCATTCCTTCACCTGAGTGAACAGTTATAGAAATTACACAAAACTTTTTATGTTTACCGAAGGAAGACATATTGTTTTGGCTGAGACTGTTTCCTCTTCTTCTCCAAACCAATAAGGTCAATGACCTAAACCGGACGTCTGTCACCATGGTAACTAGGGTTGGGTTACATCATGTTGGAATTTTATAGCAGGAGGGATTTAGATTTCTGTCTGACCATTATATATGTGATGTGTTTGAGTAAGAATTAACAGAGCAGACCATATGAGAAGGAAGACATTAATATGCATTTGCTTTGCAAATGTTACCTTAAGTTTCTAGTTAGGTTTTTTCTCCTCTCTTTCTCTCTGTCTCTGTGCTTAAAAAATCTCCCATTCAATCCAGCAGACTCACAATGTGCATGTCAGAATATACAACCACAACGCAAGGAAGTCGGACAGAAGGATAAAAATATTAGTTGATTAATAAAAAAACAGTTAAGACACCAGCAGCAGCAAAAAGTTTTGCAGTACTTTGTGTATGTACCAGTTACTGTACATGTATTTTCACACTGTTGTTTACTTTTTGTTAAATTGTCTGCATGAAGTTTGAATGGTTCTGAGTACCCGGTAAATTGACCTTACCATACACAACCTATTGCATTTGCCTTGTTGAAATAATCCAGGTAAAATAATGTATCACACTGACTATAATTATTATGAAAGAAAATATCTTGGAATCACTGTATATTCTACAGTATGTCAGGGCTCGAAATACAGAGTTGTGCACCCAAATTTGGAGCTGTGCACCCAATATTTTTCTGTGGGTGCACCAGTGCACCCAAACATTTTCGTAGGTTCATGTAGACTACAGTATGTAAAGATGAGACTAAACGTACATGTATGGTACTATTGGTAGTATACAGCATCTACAAGTGTCAGAAAAATAATGAAATCATTGTACTTTTCTTCACAAATGAAACATCATTAGTTTTTGCTAAGTGAACATTCTACCTATTTTATTGTACACCTAATTTTTTTAGGTTGGGTGCACCAGTGCACTTATTCCCAAACTGAATTTTGAGCCCTGGTATGGAGTTCGAGCAGAGACACTTCTAGCTGGTTACTCACTAGGACTGTTCCATTTGGTGAGTTGGAGGAGCCTGGCACAGGATCAACATATTCCCATCTCAGCTGGTCTGTTCTTGTTCTGTGGAGGATGAAAAACAAGGGAAAATTTTCACACAAGTAACAAATACCTGGTACTCTATATGCAGTACTTTGTAGATGTAAGTTCTTGCTTAACAGTTGTTGATTCACCCAGTTCACAACTACAATGTGTAAAATTTAAAGTACTGATTGCCACATTTTGTTGGATTTTTTTCTATAAATTATGTGCTAAACGTAAACAATAGCCTGGGTTGTAACATTACAACTTGATAACACTCCTGGATGCCACATTTTGTACTGATACAAGTACTGATGAACACTATGCCAACCCTACTGTAACCATAAAGTTGCAAGAATAACGACTTAATATCATTGTCCGGGTTGGTAAAAATGCCCATTAAAAGTCACATACCTTTTAATAGGCAGCATTCCAATATCTGTGAACATATCAACAAAACATATTAAGCTGAGAGTCACACTTACATTGTATATTTAAACTAAAAACATTAACCACTAACCTCAAAAGACACAGAGAAAGACATGAAAAGCAGATCTGAAATAAAGTTTCTAAGAATATTACGTATATACATGTACTGCATCAAGGACACTGTCCTGACTTTATTGCTTTTTTAGTTCCTGAACTTACGTCTAATTTTCATCTCTATGTAACTGGTGCTCTGTGTCAGTAACACGATCTCCTCGTGAGTAGACTGGTCCACGGTGTAACCGTTTATTCTCAGGACTTCATCTCCTACCTACATGGGGAAGCAACAAAAATCACGACAGTTTTCAGTTCTACTATTTTTTTTGAACCAGTGTGATACTTTTTCTAATTCTTCCAACTTGTTACAGAGTGTAGGGGAACATTTTATGCTTAAAGTTTATGTAACTGGTGTGTTACACCTAAAGTCAGTTTACCATGGCAGTTATACAAGACAAATGAACAAAACATTTAAAACCCTAGCATGTCCAGATCACGAGATATCAAAACCAGAAGTTCCAGAGCATTAGACTACTGTAAGTCTCTTTAGATTCGCGGGGCCTAAAGTTCGCGGTTTCGGGAAAATGGACAATCCGCGGTATTTTTAGATTCGCGATTTCTACTTGGCTATTTTTCAAAGAAAAATTTGTAAAGTGTATATTTAAAATAATAAAAGTTCGTGTTCCGGCATTTATCTCCTAAAACGCGGCGCAAAAATTTGTTTCGTGCACCGCGCGAGACTGCCGGCGGTATAGCTGACGATCGATCTGACGCACGTGTAAACAATTTTCTTTGTTCGGAAATAAGCGCTAAAACGCTATTTTCCACAACCACACATCGATACTCTAGTGAAGAAATGCATAATCGAAAGAATCTTTCGGGAAAATATATATTACTAAGAATATTTATGCCGTCTTCGGCGAGATTTTGAACCCGGAAGTATGCAAAGGTCGCCTACGGTTTTGTAGCGGCCCACGGTAGCGTTTCTATCCAGCAAAAAAAAAAAAAAAAAACGCCCGCAAAAGCAGGGCGCAAAAGAGAACCAACTAACACTTCCCAGGTACCAGCAGTTATATTTTTCATCAAAATATTTGTAGATTTGCCCGATGTGCCCGCAATTTTCAAGCGCCCGGGCGCGCATGGCCGGCGCTCAGCACACAGAGATTTTTGTCCGGCGGTGCACGTTTGACACGGCCAGTGCCGCAGTATCGCGATTCGGTGTCTCATAATATTATAATTTTTTGACATCAGTATAACTTTAAAAAATTTTGGTACTCAACATACGTACATTTGCTAAGAATGGAGTTGATTTGCAGTGATTTGTGTTTGTCGCGTGTGTTTGTGTTTCGCTTACCGTCGTGAATGCATGTGGGGAGGGGGCGCACTTACGCAAAACATATTCGCGGGGAAATAGATTCGCGGTACAAAGGTCCCCGCGAATTCCGCGAATCTAAATATACCACGGAAATTTGTAGACTTACAGTATAACAAGCCGCCAGGGAGCCCAAAATTTAATCATTTTGGGGGTCTCATATGATTAAATTTTGGGCTCTCATCAAGACCTACATGTACCTACCCACCAAGTTTCATGACAATCCATCCATAGCTTCCTGAGTTATCGTGCTTAAACACATACACGACACACACATACTTAGTAACGTAACACAGGTGGTTACAGTACAACCACCTGTAACGAAGGCCAGTTCTTACCCTGAGTCCAGATATCTCTGCAGGTGAACTGGGTACAACATGTGCTACATAGATGCCTACTCCATGTTCAACTCCTGCAGGGGAGAACAACATGAATTTGGGTATGAATTGACTTAAATAACTATCACACATTGTCATTGGGTGTCACTGAGTATTTTTTACTATTATAATAAACAACTTTAACACAACTTTACAATTAACTGTTAACAGTAATATTTGACTCACCTCCTCTTAGTGAAAACCCAAGACTATCTGGTCCATTCTTCACCAGTTTTACAATTCGTGCTTTTCTCCTGTCAAACATATAAAGTGACGGGTTAGATTGAAATATTGTGTGTACACCGTGTATCCTTTATAAAGCTAAATCAAATTTGCCAAAAATTATTTTGTTTTTTAAAAGAATGATGATATCAGTTAAATTGTAAAAAATGTGTAACTTACGATAAACAATGTCACTTAAGTGAGATCTATTTTCAATTAGTTCTATTGAAATAATGCTGGGATAAATATTTACTAGACTTTAGAAGAAAAGAGATAGGCATACATGTATACTCACGCTAGTCTGTTGGGTACTATTTTGTCGTATTCCACTTGATGTTTCAGAGGTATTAACGGTCTGAGTGGGAAAAGACATAATTATACAAAATGTCAAATTGAATAATAATGTAGTGTAAAATTTAAAAGGAAAGAGGTTTAACTTCAACTTTTAATTAATAGGTATGGGGAACAATTATTAAATTACCAGCTATACAGATACATTGTACATGTACAGAAGCTGGTGTGTTACGCCTAAGGGCAGTTATACCTGCTATTATACATAATATACAGAATGATACGGGTACAGATACAGGCCAGGGGGATTCCTGCTGACCTGACGTCCTCGAACAGTTCCATCCTGTCTGGAGAGTTGACGACTTTCCTGAGGTCTGTGATGAGCTCGGGAAGGGACATGGATCTGGAACAAATAGTAGATTGTGTAATGTGTATTGAATACACAAACAAGAATTTTTCTCTGTTTTAGGGTTTTTTAAGTAGTTTCATATCATACTGCAAGGTGAAAACAGCAATCCTAATAACTTGAATGTGCCAATAAAAGATTCAGGCAAAGATAGTCTGAAACAACTGTTAACACAACAACAAACACCAAACAATACAGTATAGGGGTCGTAGTCGAGGGGATTCATTCCTCAAGCTAAGCAAGTTAAAACAACAGATCTTGCACACGCAGTCGGTCCCTCAGTAAGACATCTAGAGCCACATACAGGTCCTGTTTAGAACTTTAATTCAGCCTGTCACACGAAAGAATACATGTATCTTTTACTTTTTGGGACAGACTTGGTCTAAATTATAAATGCATGGTATGATTAATGTTAGAATGTATTAACTATTATTATAATAAAAGTTGTACATACTCATGATATTGTCTGAGTGATGTGTACAGGACGTCCCTCTCTGACTCATCCTCCAACAAGGCCTGGACCTGCACAAAGAAAATAAACAACATGTCAGACTTTAGTTATCAAAGTTAACTTACTTAATTAATATAGCTTTTCTTTCCTTTTCCTTAATATCAAATTCTAGCTGCTACTTACAGCTACATGCAAAATTATTCACAACCCCTTTCGTATTTTGGGAATTTTGCCAAAATGAGGAGCATTACAACACTGCAGAACACATAATAAGTAAATCATGCAGATAGTTTATCACAATTTGATATCAGAGGAAAAGTCAACATTATTTCATAGTTAATCCAAAATGGCAACTTTAATACAAAAAAGCAGGTGGCAAAATTATTCAATTCCATACAAGGACTGTAGACACAATTATTTTAATATATGGCTAGGGAATTATTTGGTGTTACAAGGATGGGAGGGCCGGGGCTAAATGAGGAACTTCAAGGTTATATATTTTATATATTGTTCAATATGTTGCCTGAATAAGACTTCAATAGACTAGTAGGTGATAACTTGTTGTAGCAAAATCTGTTCTGACCTTCATGCCACCATAATCTTAGCTTTCTGGAAAATTAGAAATATTAGATATACTTTAACAGTTACTACAACAAACCAGTAAGTTTGTGGTACTAGACTATAAGTACTTTATTCGCATAAAAATTGCCCCAAATAATTCTTAACATTGCACAAAAACAACAGTCAGACAGTTTCAAGTACAATTATTATATTTCTTTGAACAATGTAAACAATTTGCCTTCTTGACCAGGATACAGCATCAAACATTAACCCTAGCAGGAAGTAAGTTGCTGGTTTCCACGCAAACATTTACTTACACGTAGCTATGACTCAGTGCAACCAAATTGTATTCAATGACATGTGGAAAAAACAAGCTTGGTCCAAATTTAAACATCTAATTCTCATATTTTGTAAATGATTATATCAAAGTGAAACAATAGGTCTAAAATGAATAAATCCCTTGCAGGGATCCACTAAAAAAAGGCTTAAGGGACGGCAGGCTTTTCTACATCAGGGCTGGAAATTCATTTTTGGGAATACATTGTAGGTGCACTGGTGCACCCAATTAAAAAAATTAGGTGCACAAAAATTTTTTTGGGTGCACCATTATAAAACAATTTTACTGCTCCATGCCTGAGCTTGAATCTGAAATGGGGGCTAACTTACAAGAAAGATTTTATTATTTTTCTGACACTTGTAATTGCTAAGAATATCCTACATACAATTACGATATGTACAAAAATACCTACAAAAATATTTGGGTGCACCAGTGCACCCACAGAAAAAAATTGGGTGCACAGCTCCAATTTTGGGTGCACTAAGGTGTACATGCACCCAGTATTTTGAGCCGGCCTGTACATGTATGGTGGGTGAAACAGGAAACACAACAGTTTTTTCTAGGCCTAAGGTATTTGAAAAGGATGTCATACAGGCTAATGTAATGTAGTTAACACTGGTGGGATGTTGAATTTTGCTACTAAAAGTCTTATAAGGGGGTCTTTGGCATCAAAGCATTCCAGACCTGTTAAGATCTGGGGTTGATCAATTTGTTCTCACCATCTGAATGCTTTAAATATAAACAAACCTGTTTAGTAAACAGCCTTGCAACTGTCAACAAACATTAGTATCCAGTAGGAACTGAAACTTTACAGGGTTACAGGGGGGCTGCATGCCCCTTTTTGTAGAGCGTAATCGGCTGTTTTACATTATAATTCCATGTAGATTGTCGACGGACCTTCTAATTCAACGTAGAGCGTATTACTAATTGGTGCATTTTGCGTAGAGCCATTTTATTTTACGTAATGCATTGTAGAAACCTGGAATCTATCGTAAGGCGTAATGAATTCAGCTGTATATACGTACAATGTAGCTTCCTCTGTAAAAATGAAAGCGTCCCCAACGGAGAAACGCCCACCGGACGCCGTCCCTGCCCGTCTTTAGCGGGAAACGGCGTCCTGACCGTCCCAACACAGTTGGCAGCGTCCACAAACTTCCCCCGGACGGCCGTCCCAGAAATTAGCGACGGCACCCCGTCGCTCCCAGCCCGTCCTGAACCGTCCGGCATGGAAACGGGCGTTTATTAATTAATTGACAACAGCAACGGCCGGCACTGACGTGCTTCACGATGTTTCCCAGGGGGGTTTAGGCTTCTAACGCACATGCGCCAAGTTTGAAGGCGCTAGATTTAACGGTCACCGGGCTGGCTGGGGAACACGTCTGCTGCTCAGTCGACCTCAGTTTTTTCCATTTTGTTGGATTGTCTGCAATTTTGGAGGATGGATTTCAGTCATACAAGCAGCTATATCTATCGTCGACGCTGCACACAAGTTTGGGCATCTCCAGCGACTGACTAAAATGTCAAACGAGGTGTTCCAAGAATGTAAACAGCGGCCGCCAGAAGCAATCTGTCTCGGCGATTCTTTTTCGAGGATACTCGGTAAGTGGACAAGAATTTTTCGTTGTCAAATGTTACAAGGGAACTGTGTAAGACAGTGTTACAATTGCCACAACAGAACATTAGTTAATTCCAGGGGCTGCTGAGAAGTTTGCGGTTATATTTTGTTCGTCCTCCCCGAGACTGCCCTCCCCACATAAATTTTGTCACATGCGCCGCCGGGCTGATAAAGGAAATTCAATGTTTTAACGCCGAAAAATAAAAAGACGCACACGAACGATTTGTAGAATAATTGTGTACAATACCTGCTGTTTTAATAAAGAACGATGATGCCGTAAAAATGTACACGTCATACACAAAAGGAGACTCGAAGTCCCGCACACAAGTTCGGCCCGGGAAAGTCCTGACGTCACGGCTGCCATCTACTAACGCAACCGTCAATGTTGTTTTCATACAAAATCTTCCAAGACGCACAAAAACTACGTAGAATATAATTATATACTATACGAATTTTAATGAAGAAAGACGATTATGTTAAAATGTCCACTTAGGCAATGTTTGCACTTGTAATTTTCTTACACCCTCGCCCTTTATGTTTGTGTGCGCTCACAATGGTGGATTACTGTTGTCGCATGTTCGCCGCTGTTTACAGCCGCTGTTCAACATTTTGTTACTCTATATTCTTGAAGAAAATCTTTTTCGTTTGATCATGGTATTTTGTATTTACTTCACGGCTCGTTACGGCAACTGTTACAATGTGGGCGGCCGTTACTTGTTGATTCGATGCCAATCTGCAATTGTTTTCAATATTACTATATCGGCACCTTCTGTCACGGGACGCCGTCGGAAACGCCGTCCCAACCCCGTCGGAGCGGCAAGATCAAAATGTCCACAATGACTGAGCACCCCCCAGAGACCCGTCCGGCCGTCGGATACGCCGTTTGGACCCCACCTGTGCCGTCCCAAGCGTCGCCCGGCCCCGCCCAGGAGCCCGTCCGGCAGCCCGTCCGGCAGCGCGTCCAGCAGCCCGCCCGGTAGCCCGTCGGAAACGGCGCCCAAACGCCTTAAGAAACGCCCGGACGCCGTCGAAAACGGACAGTTCTGACGGCGTCCCAGGCGTTTGAGGCGTCCTGGCCCGTTTCTGGCCTTGTCCAGGCGTCCGGAGTCCCCGTTTACCGCCAGGGACGGGCAGCCGTCCCAAACAAACGGCCACCACAAACGGGCGTTTAAACGGGCGTTTCTCCGTCGGGGACGCTTTCATTTTTACAGAGGTGGTTCTCAAAATTAAGTGTCACATAGAGCGTTGCCAGGACCCCCCATGCAGGCCCTCATACAGTTACGGGGGTGTCCTGTGACAGTGTCTATTACTAATGTCACAGATGGGTAAATTTCAGTTCAGAACTTCTGTTAGTTTTTTCATGATTTGGCCCTCTTATTTATTTTTAACCTAACTAAATGTGGTCTTGAAAAACACTGTCCAACAACAATTAACAACCATCGATATCGTTGCAGATTCTTTTTCAATGCAGAAAATTTGTAAATTTTTGTCATACACTAAAAACAAACATGTCGTTGACCAAAACAAGCTGCCATATATGTTCACTGTTCCAGTTCATTGTCTAAAGCTCAAAAATTGTTAAAAACAAACTTTAACTGTAAAATCCATTGTATTGATTAAATGATTAAAAGCTGAACACAAAGAGCACTGTACAATGTACTTGCACATTGTACATTGTTATCAAAATGTGGGTTTAAAGTTCATGCCATAATTTTGCCCTTTCACTTTTTAGAACCCTCTTATATTAAATAAAAGATTATAATATTTGTAAAACAGTGGCAGCAGTATAATGCAACGTCATATTAAGCAAACAATTTTATTTGCGATACATGGCCAGATGTACATTGTCATATCTATGTACAGGGTACTTGGAAGGGTAATATTTGGCTTTCACATGTTAAAACACCTCCTCAGCAACAAGTGGGCCCCACGGTGTCAGCTGTTTGGTATTTGCTCAGTCGTCTAATTTATAACGCTTATCGTACAAGTGAACGCCATTACGCAATGGCTGAATACGGTGGTTCCAAGCAACATTGCGAAAAACTGTTTCTCAAACAATGTAACTATTATTCTGATCCCAATTGCTTTGACTAAATTAAGAATTAAGAACTGAAAGCTCAGTGAATTAATGACTCCAGACAAGTTCTTTTTCTCCTTATACGAACGTAATTGTACACATTGTAAATGTAATTCACTGTGCATACATTGAAAACCCAAAAAGTATTTGCCAAGCACTACTAAAATTTGTACACATCTTATCCATATCCATGGTTATATGTGCAGCGTATGCCTAATCTATAATTGTACAGGAATTAAAAACACCAAAATCAACCTTAACTAGCCTTAAATTGATATGAACTGCACGTTTGGATCAGTAAGTTAACATTCCAGGTTGATAGCTGACAGGTGCAAGTTGGGAGATTTTCCCACCCATTCAATTTGAACTCCAGCCAAGGAGGTTCTATAAACAACAGAATTTGTTACATTTCTTGCTATAGATGAATTCAATGTCATTCCACAATTCAAGATAATACTGTGTACATATCAAATGTTTAGAC